CCGTAGAGTGGCTGGTGGATTTGAACGGTGTCCTTTTGGTTAACAGTGCTACCAGGGCTTCTGAAACATTGAGAACATGTCCAAATATTTGTCCCCACTTCCAAATTTTATTAAACAGAGATGGTCTTTTTATTTTTACATTTATGATCAAAGTTTGAATTTTGTTCTTTTTAAAAGATTTCCCCCATCCTATTCATCATTTGGTAATAATTATTCTGTAAGTAAGATATCAGTAATAATAATCAGCATTTAATGACAAGTGCCCTCGACTCCATTCTGACTCATAGTGATGCTGTATAACTATTTCATTTGGTCTCTCGTTTCTTCGTTGTAGAGAGTCCATGTATGTCTGCCTAGTTCTCCATCTTGTCAGAAGTCTTGTGTCTCCCGCAACAGTGGAAGCTTACAATGCAGGAGCAGTAGTGTTCACGACTGCACTCAGACTTGAACATTCAATAAGCAAGTATCAATGCTAATGAATCATCTCTCTCTCTTTCTCATTATCCAGCTCTGTAAGAAGCATCATTTTGGAATTAACAAACCAGAGAAGATTATTCCATCTCCTGATGACTCCAAGTTTCTACTGAAGACCTTTACTCATATTAAGTCGAATGTGGCTGCGCCTAATAAAAAGAAAGTAAGCTTGATTGGCATGCCTTTGAATGCAGTTTTTATTATTTTTAAATCCAGGGGGAAATCTTCCTGCCAGTTTACTTTCAAAATGCTTTGTCATGTTAAAAAATTGTCTCTGCAGGTCCTTGGGATTATTGTCAACATTCTTAGGAAGAAGCTGTGTGTTAGCCACAGAACACTTCACATTGAATTCCTGTAATAAGAGCAGACGTCATTTCTTGCAGGTTAAGGAAAGTAAAGAAAAAGAGAAGTTGGAGAGGAGATTACTTGAGGAACTGCTGAAGATGTTCATGGACTCTGAATCTTTTTACTACAGCTTGACCTATGACCTGACCAACTCAGTGCAGAGACAGAGCACAGGGGAGAATGCTGGCCAACCCCTGTGGCAGAAGGTACTGCTAGTGCCCAAGGCCGTGTTTGCCCTCTCCTCCACACAGTGTCTAGACAGATGTAGCTCTGATCTAAAAACGGCAATAACTTTTGTTTCTGAAATGCATATTCTCTTCTTTTTCCAGGTTGATGACAGATTTTTTTGGAATAAATACATGATACAAGATCTCACCGAGATTGGTGTGAGTACTTGTTTCTAAAATACCCTAAGTGACGGTTGGTCAGCGTGCGTTTTAACTTGCGTTAAAATGAAAATCCCACTAGAATGTTTTCCCCTTCAGGAAGCCATTATTTTAAAGTAGTTCCCACTACCTAACCAGCAGCCTAGTGTAGCCTTTTAGCAGGTTCCCATCGGCCACTAGGAACTCTAAGCTGTGAGCCTGCCAGCCACAGAATTCCAGTGGGGATATTTTGTTTGTACCCACTGAAAGTAGAAATCTCTATTTTACATTAAATACCAGTCATTAAACTGCCCTTGGACCTTCGTTTCTGATCTTTAAAACTGGGCAGTTGGAGTAGACAGGTCTCTAAGGCCGTCCCAGAACTGCCAATTCAGGGGAGACAGGGTGTGAGACAAGATTGTCATGTGAGATTCCTTCTGGTTTAGTGATTATGGTCTCCCTTTACCCTGCCCAAGGAAGATTGGTTCATTTATTCAGTCAGTCATCTAGTACTTAAAAGTCTCCTCCAGGACTGTTAACCATTCTGTTCAATAAACAAAGCAGATTAATAGCAAAATAGGGTCAGACATTAGTATTTTTTTTAACTTTACAGAAATCACACCTTTTGACTTCTTTCTGTTTCTCCCTACAATCCCCAGCATCTATACTATCTAGTGGTGTCTACCTGACATACCAAGAATGAAGCATGATGTTATTCTCACCTTTGTGTCTGATGCTGTTTAAACTATGACCACCAAAACCCAGTGGTTAAAAAAAAAAATGACATTTGTCTGGTTCACTGGCATCTGCAATAGCAAACTTTTAATATATTTGGCAGAGGTTTTCATTAGACGTGTTTGATATTACTATTTAAAACCAATAAGGGTGGTATTCGGTCCTCTTTTCTTGTTACGTTTTTTGTCTGTTGCTAGAACAAACCCACAGATAACGGGCATGGTAATAAGAAACAGTGGCTGCAGGCGGTCCCTCCGCTCACTCACCGTTTTCCGTTCTAACCACCTTCCTATCTGTAGGCTCCAGTAAAGCATGAGGTAGGACCCTGGAGTGTATGGTGCTGGAAGGGGAGCTAGGTTTGCGGTTGATGCCGTGATTAAGTCGAGACACAGCTATGGGCATGTCGTTGCTGAGTGCCATCAAGTTGGTTTCCACTCATAGTGACTCTACGTACAACAGAACGAAACACTGTTCGTAGTTTTTAATCGATGATATTAGAGCAGTGGTTAAAGCACTGCACTGCAAACCAGAAGTTTAGTGATTTGAACTCCTCAGCCATTACATGCGAGAAAGATATGGCGGTCTGTTTCTGTAAAGATTAGAGTAGGAAGCCTCACCTATGAGGCAGTTTTACTAAGACATATAGTGTTATCGATGGCCTCCTGGTGTGGTGTTGTAGGATCACCACGAGGTGAGACTGAGAACCACAAGGTGGACAGTTCAAACCCACCAGCCACTCCTTGGAAACCCTCTACAGGATTGCTGTGAGTCGGAATGCACTCAACAGCACAGAAGAGCATCGTGTTGTTGGACTCCTGGTGTGTTTGAGCTGTAAGGTGAGGCTTTGTGCTCCTGTAAAGATTTACAGCAGGAGACCTCTACAGGGTTGCTGTGAGTTGGAACCAACTCGATGGCACTTCACAACAGTAGTGTTGTAATGAGCCAGAATAAACTCAACAGCAGTGGGCTCGGTGGTTGTTTTGATTACACTGGATTACTTTTGTGAGGAAGACAGCACACCCCTGCTTCATTTCCTACTTAGATTTTGGCTTCAGTGAAAGTTTTATTCGTAACTGGAAAGTAGAGTTTTGAGAGGATTGCAAGTAACGTCACTAAATAAAACATGTATAAATTGTTGGATCACAGACTTCAGTTGCTGCGCAAGCTTTCGTCCACCCACAGTAAAATGTTAGGAGACAAAAAGCAGAAAAGCATCGTGTGCTTCAGAACAAAGCGATCAGAATCCGTGTCATTTTGTAGCATGAAAGGCTTAATACCAGGGACTTCAAAAATTTTGGAAAAATTCGGTCATTTTTTTAATTCCTTTTTTTTCATGAACTTTGAATAATTGTCATAGAATTGGGAGTTGAATGTTGAATTTTAAGCTTTATTTTTCTCTATCAATAACTATTACAGCAGGTCCATTTGTTAAATAAGCATTGGGCTATTAACCACAAGCTCAGCAGTTAAAACCCACCAGCCACTCAATGGGAGGAGAAGGCTGTCTGGCTCCCATAAAGATGAACAGTCTTGGAAACCCTGTACTGGGTCGCTGTGAGTCGGAATTGGTTCAATGGCAAGGATTGGTTTTGTTCTTTGGTTATATAGTTATAGTATGAAGTCCTGGTGTGGCACTGTAGGACAAGCGCAGGACCACAAGATCTGTGACTGAGACTCACCAGCTGCTCCTCAGAAGCCCTAACAACACCAATTTGTATTATAATGTAATTGTTACGTGCAGGCCAGTCAGTTCCAACCCAGAGCGACTCGTCTAGAGTTTCTGAGGCTATAAATTTTTACAGGAGCAGAAAGCCTCATCTTTCTCCTGTGGAGCGGCTGGTGGGCCAGAACTGCCGACCTATGGTTTGCAGTCCAGTGCTTTATCATGCAGAGCCATCACACTCCCCCATTTATAATAGAATACTCTAAATACTGTATGACATGGGCTGTACCACCCTACGCACATTGTTATTCATGTAACCTTTACAACAGCCCTGTAAGGTAGTAGTCATGCCTCCTTTCCCAGGGGAGGTAGTTGCGGAAAGTCCAGTTAGATGATGCACCTCAGTGAGCTACACCAGGCCGTCTGTCTCCTAGACTGTGTTCCCGTTCAGTCAGCTCTTCAAGAGGCTCTGCTATAAAGAAAGAAAAGCCTTTCCACCTCCCTCCTTCTCCTCTCTTCCCCCTTCTTCACTTCTCTCTTCCCTCTTTCCTTCCTTCTATAGTATTCTCCTTTAAACAGAAAGTATAGTTAAAGAATGGGAGGTTTCTGCCTGCCACCAGCTGATAAGTACGTGCCAGCTACTGTTTGGGCTTAGGATGGCAGCAGTCCTATACAGATGGGAGACAACATAATGTCCGTATTGTTTTCAGATACCAGATGTGGACTTTTGGATCATCCCCATTATCCAAGGTTTTGTGCAGATTGAAGAACTTGTGGTAAATTATAATGAAACATCTGATGAAGAGAAAAGCAGCCCAGAGACCCCCCCACAGGAGTCTACCTGTGTAGATGACATTCACCCACGATTTCTAGTGGCTGTCATTTCACGCAGAAGTAGGCACAGAGCAGGTGAGCTGCAGGTGCTCAGATACACAGTTTTCAGATGTGTTGAAATGGGTTTGAAGGCACAGTGCTAAGTGATTGTAAACACTGTGTTGTAACTGGAGATTGATTTTTGGAGAGGCGTGAATTGGAGGAAATTAGCAAAAGGAGAACGAAAAAGAAGTCTACGTGCATACAGAGGAGAAAGGTGATTGGGATGTGCTTCTAAAATACTAATGTTCCAGGTGACAGCTTGTGTCCTTCTTGAGCTTCTGTTTCAGTTCTTAAGAACTGTCTTAGCTTCCAACTTTTAAAAAACAGCAGTTAGGATTTTGGGCAAGTTGATGCTGTTTTGCCTGAAAGTTGCACATTGGCAAGCCTGGAATATATGCATCAATTCCTCATTTACTGTCTATTTATCTGACATTTCACATTTACAATAGTGATAACTCGACTGTCAAATTCTTTATGCATTAACATGCGCCTGGCAGGAACAAATGCCGAGGTGCTAGGTGAGCGTAACCATGGCTAGGTTGGCTAAGGTTATGTGCCACTTTGGCGAGGCCATGATTCTCAGTGCTTTGGCAGGTATGGAATGATGTCATTTGGCAATTACATAATGAAGTAATTGTGATCTAATGCCATCATCCTCCATTTTCACACAAGTTCAGTTCTCACATCATGACCTGGTCTTTGGAACCTAACCATGTTGATAAATGAGCAGTATGTAGATTTTTTGATTAGGAGCATAAACTAGTCAGACTTTTTTTTTTTCATTTTTTATGTTGCAGTTTTCTATCTTAATTTTCTTTCAGGAATGCGCTATAAACGGAGAGGAGTAGATAAAAATGGAAATGTTGCAAATTACGTGGAGACCGAGCAGTTAATTCATGTTCATAATCACACCCTGTCATTTATTCAGAGCCGAGGCTCTGTGCCTGTGTTTTGGAGCCAGGTTGGCTATCGGTATAATCCAAGACCTCGGCTAGACAAAAGTAAGCTTCTCAATGATTTGCTCTTCAAATGATGATTTCAGAGAGATTGTTCTTTTTAAAACTTAAAAAAAAAAATTAGCTATGTGATAGGTTTGATTTGTTAGACCATTTTATTCAAAACAATAATGTACAGAGTCAAATTCTGTCGGAAGTGATGTGTGAGTTACAAGAGTAGTAAGTTGTTGACGATTTGTCTTTATGTAACAATAAACAAAAATTTTCCCAACAATTCAGCAAAACATAGCTTATTTCACAAATTTTTAATTTCTGTTGCTTTTAAGAATACTGAATGCTTTTATTTTTGGAAGGCGTAAATGTAGACATTATTTGTAGAAGCAAGAAGTAGCTTTGCAAAACGGCATCTACCAAAAAACAGATCAGTGCCTTTACTTAAATGTCTCTCCATGAGTGATTTTTGTGTCTGGTTTCTTAAATTATAAGACTTCATTTCTTCTAGTATTTTAGCTTTATCACTATTAAGTCACTTAAATCAATTAGATTACTGAATGAGGTTGATATTAAAAATTGTTTTAAAAACATTTTTATTTCTGAACTTAGTTTGTATTCTTTGAGAATCCAGTAACTTCAGTTTTTAAAATTCTCTGCTTTAAGAGGAGGTTTTATTCTTTATAAGCCATATGAAAATTTTTCTGAGTAGGTTGGATATATAATTAATGAATCATAATTTCACAGTTTGTACTTTTGAATATGTTTTAATGTAATATAATTTTTTAAAACATCAGCGCTCTTTAACTTAGCACTTCATCTTTAAATACATGTTCTTAACAGTCATAGTTATATTTGAATTATCAGTAATATTATCTGAAAGTAAGGTTAAAGGTGGAATAAAAAGTAGTTTGTGTCTTCCCATGAGAAGGAAAATGGACTCTGTGTCGCTTCTCTGTAGGTGAAAAGGAAACTGTTGCCTGTTTCTGTGCCCATTTCGAAGAACAACTGAAAATTTACAAAAAACAGGTGGGCTTTGCTTTGTGGTAATAAAATAGTCCTTTATGTTTAGAAATGATTATGTAGCTGTTTCTTTAAATTTCTTGAAAATAACAATGTCTGGTTCACAATTAAATAAAGCAGCCATTTATCATGAAGTTAAAAATATGTATAAGCTAAGAATATTGTAAATATTCTTTTAAAACAATCATTGAGTTAGCTACTTTAGACTGTATTTGCATAGTATAAAGAAATTAGACTGCAATCAATTAATAATTACAACTCATGAAGTATATTGAAATGAAAGTCATTTTCAATACCACCTACACTCTCTCTTCCTGGAGATAAAAAATGTTACGTATCTTTCAAGATCTTTTTTCTCTGCCCACCTTTTATATGTATTCATACACTCACAGAAGCCCAAACCAATGGAAAACAATTAGATACAATACAAGTTCAATAAGATGACCAGATTCAGATGCAAGATTAATGTTTAACAATCAGTAACTCTCGGGTCTGAATGTGCAATGCCATAGGGTATTCTATTCTAAAAGCAACAAGAACAAAATACTAACAAATAACCTAAAATATGATAAATAGGAAAAAGATTATACAAGGGGGCTTCAAAAAGTTCATGGGAAAATGGAATTAAAAGAGAGTATTTCCACAAATGTCTTGAAGCCTTATCTTGTATGTGTGTGCGTGTGTGTACAGACCCACTACTATTGGGTCAGTTCTGACTCATAGTGACCCTGAGTAGGGTTTCTGAGAGTGGCCAGGTTTGAACTGCCAACTTGTAGTTAGAAGTCCAGTGCTTAGCCTATGGTACCACACCAGGACTACCAGCTAGTAAGTGGTGGTGCTGGTGGTGGTTAAGTACAATGGACTCGGTTCCGACTCAGAGCAACCCTGTACAGGGTTTCTGAGGCTGTAAATCTTTACAGGAGCAGAAAGCCTCATCTTTCTCCTGCGGAACGGCTGGTAGTATCGAGCTGCTGACCTTGAGGTTAGCAGCCAGACTGGCAATAACTACACTATGAGTAACTGAAGATCAGAAAAGAAAACCTGAATAAATGAGAGAAAATGCTATATTCCTAGAAGGGAAGAAAGTCAACATGATCCCAGTTACCCTGAACAGGGTAATAGAAAGCAACCATTCAGACTGAGAAAATAGCTCTGTAACGTGTGACTATGGGAGAATGGCCAGTATTGGGGAAAACGAGAACTCCGACACGTTGCTGTGGAGCTGACTCCAGCTCATGAAAACCTGTACGTAACACAGCGCACGTATGAGCCAGTCCACATGGACCATCTGGGCATGATTGTTAGTATGTTTTAGTCCATTTCTGTGAGGTTTTATCTTATTATCTCAAACCTTCTACTTTACCAGCCAGAATGTCTTCTTACGGCTTTTGTTTTTCCTGATCACATGTCCAAAGTCAGCTGGCTGAAATTTCATTGTCCTGGCCAAAGGAGCGTTCTGGTTGTTTCTTCTTAGCCTGACTTGTTCCTTCATTTGCCAACACAGTTCTAATGCATCGGTTCTTCTGTCTTTCCTTTTCATTGGTTAGCTTTCACAACATACATGTGAGGTTATTGAAAAACCATGGCTGGGGTTAAGCACCCCTTAGATAGGAAAGTGATGTCTTTGTTCGTGGGATCATGAGCAGACATAGGCAGTTTATGGGGGGCACAAAAGTGCTCAATTACTAGCCAGAAGGGTCAGTCACCAGGAGTCAAAATCAACTCAGTGGCAATTAATGGCAACAGTGTATTAAAATCAAATATGCTTATATTAACGTTGAATAATTTTTACTTTTGACATCCATCCTTCATACTATCTATAAACCCATTTCCAGTTGGATTATGGATCTCAGTGTGAAAGTTAAAACAATAAAACTGAGGAGGAAAAGAGGAACAAGATCTAAGGTCTTACTGCTGCTGTTGTGTGTCATCACATCGGTTCCGACCCATAGTGACCCTGAATAGGTTTCCAGGACTCCTGGGATGGTGCTGGAGGATCAGCACTGGACTGCTAACTGCAAGACCAGTGGTTCAAACCCACTCGCCATTCCTTGAAAACCCTATACAAGGTCGCTATGAGTCAAAACTGACTTGATGGCACTTAACAACAACATAGGGTTTCTGAGAGACTGTAAATTTTTACAGGACCCAAAACTCTCATCTTTGTCTCAGAGAGTGGCCTGTGAATTCAAACAAAGCCTTTTTTTTTTCTTCTTCTTCTTTTTTTTCAGTCTTAAATAGGATCCTGGAGTTCTGTTGTGGCATTGCAGGTTAATGCACTGGACTGCAGGGTCTGTTTGAACTACAAGGTCGATGGTTCAAGCTCACCAGCTGCTCCTTAGAAACCCTATACAGGGTCACTATGAATCAGAACTGACTCAATGGCACTTAACAACAACAACAATAGAACTTAAAAAGTCCATAATAGAAAACAATGATAAATTTGGCTTTATTAAAGTAAAGAACTTATGTTTATCAAGAGATATCATTTAAAAATGAAAAGGCAATTTACAAAGTGGGAGAAGATATTTTTAGTACATATATATAGTAAAAAACTCATATATTTTGAGTATACGAGGGAGCTTCCAAGAGCTTGTGGAGGAATGGACTTAAGAGAGAATAGAATCTTTCCAAGCATTTTTTGAAGCCCCCTTTATATCTTTAAAAAAAAAAAAAGCCCTCCTGGAAATCCATAAGGAAACAATAGATACCCCAAAAGTAAAGTGGACAAAAGACTTGAGAGGACCACTTCATGAGAAATGATCTGCGAAGGGTTGATAGTGAGCCCATAGATAAGTATTCTTCTTCACTGATATAATCGGGGAAAGGCTCACTGAAGCACTACTCAAAATTCCAGAATAGCTCAAATAAAGGAAAGCGAGATAAGAGTTGGTAAGGAGCTGGAGCAACTGAAACTGGAATATGCTTCTCTTGGGGAGTATAAATTATACAAACATATCTATGAACCCGGATTCCACTACTACATACATACATGCATGTATAGAACCTGGGATTCCACTACTCCATACATGCATGCATGTATAGAACCCGGGATTTCACTACATGCATACATACATACGTACGTACGTACGTACATACGTACATATGGAACAGAAATGCGTAGATTTATCCTAAGGTATACACAAGCGCAGCAACACTGTTCTTAAGTGTCAACTGGAAACTCCCTGATTATTCATCCACAATGAATGTTTGACTAAATAGTGCTGTATTTACACAGTGACTTTACAACAGTGTGAACGAACAATTTACATCTGACAAAGAAGCCAATCATAAGAGTATGGAACTGATTATCATATTTATGTAACACGAAGCAAGCATAACTAATCTCTACGGCCGAATAGTAATTTGCTCTGTTCCATTTGAGTCTTTTTCTAGACTATGTTGTTAAATGCTGTCGAATCGGTTCCGACACATAGCAACCGTGTACAGGGTTTCTGAGGTTTGAACTGCCGACTTTGTGGTTATCCTACAGCACCACGCCAGGAGTCCTTTCTAGACTCTTGTTGTTGTTAGGTGCCATCAAGTGGGTACCGACTCATAGCAACTCTATGCACAACACAACGAAACACTGCCTAACCCTGGACCAACCTCACAATCATTGCTACGTTTGAGCCCATTGATGCTGCCGCTGTGCCAGTCCATCTCATGGGGGGGGGGGGTCTGTCTAGATCAGTACCAAGTTTAATTGCTAAAGATTTCAAGTATGTTTTTCTCTCTCCCAGTATTTCCTCTTCCAGATGAATTTTAGAATTGAATTGACAATAAAATATGACCTAAAAGTTCCTGATTGAATTTTGATTGGGGTTGGTGAGTCTGTAATTTGGGGAGATTTGACATCTTTACAACACCGAATCTACTCTTTTAGCTATATGATCTGTCTCTCCGTTTTAAGGACTCTGCTGTATTTTATTTAGCACACTTGTATAGTACTGGCCTATATATAGGTCTCAGACATTTCTTTTAAAACTATCCTAAATGTTTTCAATATTTTTTATTATAAAAAGTCTTGGTTTTTTATTATGTACTGTAATTGGTCATTGTTAATGAATAGAAAACCTATTAATTCCACTGATGTAAGCAATTCTCATAAGCCTAAATGTAACAAATGAAAATTCAATTTTATTGGGAAAAAATATTGAGTCTTGAATGGATTTCATGGAGTCCTAAAGCATAATTCCAAATAGATCATTTGAGAAATCACATTATGATTCTAACATCTGACTAAACTTTTTTTTTTTCTTTTTTCATTGCTCTGATAGGTTATTATTAACTTGGTAGACCAGGCAGGACGAGAGAAAATTATTGGGGATGCTTATCTGAAGCAGGTGTTACTCTTCAATAACTCACACCTTACTTACGTCTCATTTGACTTCCACGAACACTGGTAAGCGCGGTGGCTTGCCCTAGAGGGTGCCGTAGGGGCCTTCGTGTCTGTCCCCTTCCTGAAAAAGGAGCCTCGGTGGAGCTGTAGGATAAGCACTGGACTGTTAGCCCCAAGATTGGCAGTTGAAACCCATCCTCCTCAGGAGAAAGATGAGGCTTTTTGTTTCTATAAAGATTTTCAGCCTTGGAAACTCTATAAAGGGTAGCTAAGAGTCAGACTCAGCTCTCAGGCAGTGACTATGTTGTTTTGATTTGTTTCCCTGAAAAGAGGAATTCCTTCTGCTCTTCATTTTTAGAAAGAGTTATTAATAGTTTTAATTTTAATTTCCACATAGGTTTTCTTTGGCCACAAACATGAGTGACTTGCCCTCAAAATATCGACACTCTTTCTATTCCAAAGAAATTTGGAGACTTAAGCGTTCCCTTTTTTTCTCCACTAGTTGAAGAACTTTGTGGAGCATTTTCTCTCTGCTTGGCAGAAACCATTGTGTTTCCTTCTATATATGTCACTAGGCTGGCTTGGTGCTGTGCTTTGTCAGTCCCAATTGTTGCTGTTGGTAAGTGCCATTGAGTCGGTTCTGACCCATAGCGACCCAGTATAGGGTTTCTTAGGAGCAGTTGATGAGCTTGAACCACCGACCTTGCAGTTCAGACCAAATATGCAGTCCAGCACATTAACCCACAGCACCACACCAGGACTCAGTAGAGCCACCTTTTTCACTAGACACCAACTTCACTAGAATTTGCTCTGGCAAAAAACCTTCAACTGGTGAATCATTCCCATGTTACCTATAACTTGTGTTCATTCAGAAAGCAAAGTTCTTTTGTCAACAACCTGGCTGTAACTTGGGTTAATTTACCTCTGAATTGGCAAGTTTGGTGGGAAAAGAAGCTTCTCACCCCTGTGCTGATGTGTTTTCTTGAGGTATGCGTTATTTCACAGTGCAGGTTATTATAACCAATTGTTTAATTCCTATGTAATATGTAACAGTGCTCACCTCCTATCCTTTTAGCAACGCTTTGCCTGAATTTTGAGAGGCAACTTTAAATAGTGTATCTTAAGTAAATTTTACAAAGAGTACTTCTGTGATTACAAGAAAATTGTTTTCTTTCTTTTGGCCTGTGTTCTAGCCGAGGAATGAAGTTTGAGAATGTGCAAACACTCACAGATGCCATTCACGACATCATAGTTGACATGAAGTGGTGCTGGTAGGTATCGGTTGGACAGAGTCTTGATCAGTGAAGTCATTGGTGTGTTTCCTAGCAACCACAGCCTGTTCAGAGGATAGCAGCATGCCAAGAGAGTGGTTTCGCCCATTTGGCTTCCCAGTTCCTTTGCTTCTTTTCAAGAGAGTGTTGTTGTTCATCGAGCAGTGTTTGCCTTCCACAGGGGAGGGTGTCAGCTGTTTGGGCTAGGTGGAGTGGAACCCACTCTCACTGTTCTCTCTCAGCTCCTTGGTCCATATGTTCTCTTTCTTGCTATCTCTAAAGTGAGAAATGAGGCTAAAAGATGAGTTGATCTCAGTTTTCAGGCATCTCAAAATTGTCAGAGAAGGAAGAGGTTTCTCAGAAGACAGGAGGGAAATGTATGAAGAAATGGGTATAAATTGACATGAGAGAACATAGATTAGACTTTAGCTGGACAAGGGGGCACTGTCTGAGTCCTCCCCGGGTAGAAAAGTCAGTTAGTCTCTGTTAGATAATGCAGATGCATTTCTACTTGGTGTCAAAGGGAAGGAACAAGAGGGTGTTTTACATGCTTCCTGGTTTTTAAGTGTATAGAAAAGAGTACCCTAGGTTTATCTCAGCTCTGCCTCTTAGAAGTTGTGTGATTTGGGGCAAGTTAAAAACGTTTTCTGCACTCCAGTTCCCAAACTGCACCTCACCCCTCAATGGGAATCATGTATTTTTAAAGATATGATTGTGTAAATTAGTAATCTCTAAGGGACTCATTATAAAAGTATAATACCTGGTGTATAATAATCATATTCTAAACAACTGAAAGCTAATGCTGTTATTGTTACTGATATATTTGAAAATATTGTCGTTTTTTAAAAATGTTTACAAGTATTTGGCATTGTAAAATACCCCTCTACTATTTTTGAAAAGGGTGGATCGAGATGGGGTGATCTGTAAACAGGAAGGGATTTTCCGTGTGAATTGCATGGACTGCCTGGATCGTACCAACGTGGTCCAAGCTGCCATTGCACGAGTGGTCATGGAACAGCAGGTAACGTGGCATCATGGGCAGTGTACATTTCATTTAAAAAAGTGGCTTTTTACGATGTGTCAAAGAATACATATAAATATCCTTCATGAATGAACATTTAGAAAGCTCAGTCTTTCCCAATAAGAAGCGGAATGAGAACCTCAGCCCCAGTAGAATGGTCAGGCGGCATTGTGTGGTCATTTGCCTTTTGTCCTTTAGTTCCAAACCCACCCTTCTGTAATAACGTGCAGTGACCTTGTTGTTATTGTTAGTGGACATCAAGTGGACCCCAACTCACGGTGATCCCATGTGTGCAGATCTGTGACTTTACAGTTGCAGCCTGTCAGACCTTTCTCCTGAAGTACCTTGGCACTGCCCTCTCGGGGTTGTTTCTTCCTTGGCACGTAACACGGCCACCTCAACGTCTCCTTTCAGCCCTCCAACACCTGGGCACAAAAATCTCGGTGGTCAGTTCCCAAGGTGGAAATATCTAGCCTAACTTCTGGTCCCTTCCTGATGGGACCCTGACAGGCAGCTTAATGCAGCCTTTACACAGAAAGAGTTAGCTCCCTGGGTTCAAATCCTGGCTCTACCACATACAAGAAGGTTGATCACATTCAACGAACTTAACCTCTCCATACTTCGTCTTTAAAATGGGAAATAGAAGAACCGTGAGTGCATAGAGCTGCTTTGAGGACAAAGGAGATCATTTATGTAAAAACCCTTAGGGCCCTGGGCCGGACCGGACTTAATGTTGGAGTTCTGGTGTGGTGCTGCAGGATAATGTGCTGGACCACAAGGTCAGTTTGAGCCCCACAAGGTTAGCGGTTCAAACCTACCAGCCACTCCACAGAAATCCTATACAGGGTCGCTATGAGCCAGAACCAGCTCAACAGCACCACTGAAGTTCTGGTATGGTGCTGTAGGATAAGCATTGGACTGCTAACCACCAGCTACTCCATGGGAGAAAGGTGATGCTTTCTGCCCCCATAAAGATTGGCAGCCTTGGAAGCCCTATAGGGCAGACTCGACTGGACGGCAGTGGACTTGGCTGGGGTTTAATTCGTGTGTGCTGACGCTTCCTTCTGCAGCGTGTGTTTCATGCAGCAATTTCTGGGCTCCTCTGCAGTTCATCTTCCCGTGTGTGTGTTTCAGCTGAAAAAACTTGGTGTGATGCCCCCCGAGCAGCCCCTGCCAGTGAAATGCAATCGGATTTACCAGACCATGTGGGCCAACAACGGCGACTCCGTTAGCAGACAGTATGCTGGGACAGCCGCTCTCAAGGTAAACACAAGCAGCCAGTGTCTGTGGTTCCACCTGTGAGACACAGATCAGACTGGTGTTCCAAACCAGTTGTGTTTTTGAGGGTGGTGTGTGGACTATAGGTTCTGCATCCTTGTAGTTGACGCCTTTCTGGAATGTTTGGTTAAGGCAAGGTGACACATGCCCACAGGATAAGCAGTTCAAGCAAGCCATCCAGGAGATCTCAGGGAGACATGAGGCTGCAGGGAGAGCTCATCCATCCTGGCGTTATGGAGACGGTGGTCTCCTCTCCCATCAGGGGTCACGTTGCCAGATGTTCCAGCTGTTCAAAGGAGTCTGGGAAGCTGGAGTTCCATGTGAAACGATTGGTTTTCTAACTGTTCAGACAAAGCATGTCTGAAGGCAGGAGTTGGCCCTCGGCCTGGTAGTTTGCCTTCTTTCTGTGTAAGTCCCATCTGTGTCTCTGCTGACTCTGTGACCCATTACTTAGCCTTGGGGTGCCCGTCTCCTCATCTATAAAATAGGAAGGCTTTCACTGGAATATGTGAGTCCATGCATGAAGGGCTTTAGAACATTCTTCCATGGCACATAGTAAGTGCCCAAGAAAAAGTTTTAATTTTTTGGCTGTGTATTTAATAAAGACTATATAAGGGTTATAGAAAATTTTAACTGTCAAAAAATAGACCCCTGGTACATGAAAATCTTTCTCTGTTAGGCAATAGGAAGTGGTTTGAGCTCATTCAAATCATTGTTGTTAAGTGCTACTGAGTTGGTTCTGACTCACAGCAACCCTGTACAGGGTTCCCAAGGGGCAGCTAGTGGATTTGAACTACCAACCTTGTAGTTAGTAGTCCAGTGCTTATCCTACAGTGCCACACCAGGACTACAACTCAAATTAGATGTTGATTTTTCTTCAAAGTAATAATTGATTTGGAAAGAAGAACCCCCTCAAGGGTTCACAGGTACCAGACTAACTCATCTTTTGGTTAAGGTGTAAGTATCAGAAAGCTCTTTATGACTTAGGGGAAGTGGACTGTCCATGGCGAAGGTGTAAGTTAGAGGGAATACCGTGCCCTGTGAGAGCTGGGACTCGATGAGACTGCACTGGCTTTCTGCGTCTCACCACCATTCTGCTCTTCTCTCAGTGCAAAAGACTGTGAGTTTTCCTTCTCTAACAGGTAGAAACCTTACACAGGTTCCAACATTCACAGGTTTTACCGATTTCTTTATATGCTTTTATCTTTACCTTGTGTGGAACCAGCATCCATCTCTCTCTTCTGTAATAGATTGTTGTTGTTAGTTGGTGGTAAGTCAGCCCCGACCCGTGACAACTCCATGCACCATGGAATGAGATGCTGGAGTCCCATGATCTGCTGCCATCTGTAGACTTTTCCACAGTTGGTTTTTGGAAGTAGATTGCCAGTCCTTTCTTCCTAGTCTGTCTTAGTCTGAAGTTCTGCTGAAACCTGTCCGGCATCCTAGCAACAGAGACAGGTGGTGGCTATAATTTCAATATGTCTTTTTGTTTGTTTCTTTTAAATTATTACTATTGCCTTTTATTATCAACATCTTTCTAAATTCTGTCATTAGTCATCTTTGGAGATTGGAAACATTACATATAAAAGTACAGATATATTTTAACATTGTAGGTAGTACGTCTCCACTCATCTGTCACTCGTCCTTTGTGTTGCTCTGATGCTGGCAGCCATGTCACAGATAGTTTAAGTACCAGCAAAGTCACCCCGAGTGGAGTTTTGAGGGGAATATCCAAATTAAGACAGACATAGGAGGAGAGGTGGACTACTCTGAAAGGCTAGCCACTGAAAACCTTGTGTGTATCAGCAGAACACTGTCTGACACAGTGCTGGAAGATGAGCCCCTCAAGTTGGACCACACTCAAAATCCAACTGGGGAAGAGCTGTCTCCTTAAAGCAGAGTCAACCTTAATGATGTAGCTTTCAGGGCCTTCATTTGCTGATGGGGCACAACTCAAAATGAGGAGAAACAGTTGCAAACATTGATTAATAATAGAATGTGGGCTGTCCAAAATATGAATATAGGAAAATTTCAAGTTGTCAAAAACGAAGTGGAATGCATATTGATAAATATCCTAAACATTTGGGAAAAACGTGCTCAACATTTCTCAATCTGAACTGAAAAATAATTCAAACCTGGACTTAGGTACTGAAAGTTTCTATGGGCAAAATATTGACAGACCCAGGAAACATCAAAAGAAGATGGAAGGAATATACAGAATCACTGTACCGAAAGGAATTGGTGGATTTCAAGAGGTTGTTATTAAATGCCATTGAGTCGGTTCCGACCCATAGCGACCCTGTATAGGGTTTCTGAGGAGCAGCTGGTGAGCTTGAACAGCCAACCTTGCAGTTCAAATGGCTTTGCAGTCTGGCGCATTAACCCACAGCGCCACACCAGGACACCTTTCAAGAGGTAGCACGATAAAGAACTGATGGTACTGAAGAAAGAAGTCCAACTTGCCTGAAGGCATTGTTGAAATCCCAGCCTCCAGGAACTGACAGAATATAAATTGAGATTTGTCAACAAACTGATAGAGTGAAGGTGCTCACTCGTCTATGACAAGACATTTGAAAGAGATCGTATTTATGCTCATTCCAAAGAAAGGTGACCAACGGAATGTGGAAATCATTGAACAGTATCATTAATATCACATGCAAGTAAAATTTTGCAGAAGCTAATTTAAAAACAGTTGCAGTGGTACACTGACAGGGAACTGCCAGGAATTCAAGCCAGAAGGAGATATGGAACGAGGGATTCGTTGCTGACATTAGATGGATCTTGGCTGAAAGCAGAGAATAGCAAACACTTGTTTACTTGCTCTTTATTGTCTATGCAAAAACAGTCAACTGCATGGATCATAACAAACTATGCATAGCATTCAGAACAATTGGAATTCCAGAACATTTAATTGTGCTGAGAGGAATCTGTACGTAGGCCAAGAAGCAGTCATACAAACATAACAAGGGGATGCAGAGTGGTTTAAAGTTGGAAAAGTTGGATCCTTTTATCAGACTCTGCTCAATTTGTACGCTGATCAAATAATCCAAGAAGCTAGATTATATAAAGAACATGGTGTCAGAATTGAAGGAATAAAGGGGTGAGTAGTTAATTGGACATTCCAGGAACAGAGGACCCTAGGATCATCAAGGGACAAATGCATGAATGGGATATTGGACGCTAACCAGAGAAGCAGCAACACCAGAGATGGAGGCAGAGATGAGGACATGGAGAGAGAGAGCAGCTGAGGACTGTAGACTCATGGAAAGAGAAAAGGCTGTGTGCTTGCGACCAGGAGGCAGGCTTGCAGAATGTGCCCTTTGGTTAAATGACTATATATTCCTGAGTGTTTTATGTGTACATCAAAAACGAAAAAACCCAGAGGGAATAGAAGCAAATACTGTTGAATGATGATGCATGGAGGGGATTGTAATCATTGCAATGAAACGAAATACAATAGGATGAGTATAAAACCTACATTCTCCCATGTAAATTATCACTCAATTCACAATAAAAACTTTAAAAAATGTATATATTGAAGGCTGACTCATCAACAACCTGCAGTATGCAGATGATACAGCTTGACTTGCTGGAAATGAAGAGGACTGAAGTACTGACTGATGAAGATCAAAGACTACATACAGCCTTTATTATGGGTTGTACCTCAGTGGAAAGAACATGAAAATCCTCACAACTGTATCAGTAAATAGTATGTTAAACCAGAAAAAAATTGAAGTTGTCAAGGATTTAGTTTTGCTTGGATCCACAATCAGCTCTCACGAAAGCATCAGTCAAGAAATCAAGCAGGTGTATTTCACTAGGTAAATCTGCAAAAGACCTCTTTCAAGTACTAAAGAGCAAAAAGGTCATTTTGAGGACTAAGGTGTGCCTGACCTAGCTATGATGTTTTCCTTCACTTCATATGCTGCAAAAGCTGAACAGTGATTAAGGACTATCAGAGAAGAATCGATGCTTTGATTGTGGTGTTGGCAAAAAATGACTGAACAATGCATGGACCGCGAGAAGAAGGAACAAATCTGTCATGGAAGAGGTACAGCCAGAGTGTTCCTTGGAAACAGTGATGGCCAGACTTCATTCCATGTACTTTGGACATGTCAGGAAGGACCAGTCCCTGGACATCATACTTGGCAAAGTGGAGGGTCAGCAAAGAGGAGGCAGATGGACTGACACAGTGGCAGCAACAGTGGGTTCACACTGAGAAATGTTTCCTTCTGTTGTTCATTGTTACTGGTGTTGATAAGTGCTGTCCAGTCGATTCCAACCCATAGCAACTCTGTATACGGTTTCCAAGGAGCAGCTGGTGAGCTTGAACCACCAACCTTGTAGTTCAAACAACTTTGCAACCTGACGCATTAGCCCACAGCGCCACACCAGGATGGTAGTTGTTGTTGTTATGTGCCATGGATTCAGTTCTGAATCATAGCGACCCTGTACAGGGTTTCTGAGGCTGTAAATCTTTACGGGAGCAGAAAGCCTCATCTTTCTCCCGCTGATCTTAAGGTTTCAAACTGCTGATCTTAAGGTTCGCAGCCTGATTTGTAACCACTACGCTACCAGAGCTCCTTTCTGTTGTTCATAGGGGTCTTTAATTGTCAGAACCGACTTGACAGCATCTAGTAACAGTAATAACATGTAGTACATATTCCTGACAATAAGCTATACAAAACCCTAAAACAGATGGGCATAAGTAATGTTGGGCATAAGTTGACCACATCGTAAGTCAGGGCATTCCCTGTACTGATATTTCCAGGGAATACCCTCACTAATGGTCTATTTTAGGACAAGGTCTAAGATTGCCTTGGATTAAAATCATAGTGTTGAGATGGAGACCCAAGCGATTCTCCCATTTTTACCTTCAGTAAGTGCCTCTCTAGGGACTTGCTCTGACATTCTTGTGGTGAAAAGCAAAGGAAACCAAAGAGTTTACATCTTACTGGGTTCCTTTCTGGGTGAGGATACGATGTGGGAAGGAATGGAAAGTTCTGTGTGATTCTGCTTGTTCTCACTCTCCACACACACACATCTAGATACACAACCACACACACATGCAGTCAGCCCCTTGTCACTGATGCTAAGGAGTTGTCCAGGTTTTCCTGCATCAGAATTTTGTGATTTTTGAAAATGACACCATTTTGTGGCTCAAAAAATCTTTTGTTATTTTGGTGTTTGTTACACAATGTGAACTAGAAATTCTGCAGATTGTCTGTCAAGAATGGCTTTTCCCCAACAGATCATCTTGCAGGGGAGACTTGTATCTATTTCACACACTTGGGTCAGAGTTAAATACTAGTTGTTGTTGTTGTTGTTAGGTGTCATTGAGTCGGTACCGACTCACAGAGACCTGATGAGCAGCAGAACGAAACACTGCCTGATCCTGGGCCAACCTCACTGCATGCTTGTAGATATTTTAATTAAGCTTGTTGCCATGCTTGTAGATATTTTAATTAAGTTCACAATTTGGAAAGTAGAAAAGTTCACGGCACTCTATTGAATTCTAATCGTGAATGGAAAGCCCACAGTTAACTTGGGAGTATTCATGTGTTCGAATAAATTTGTGAAATGACATTTTCTTTGGCAGGGTGACTTTACCAGGACAGGGGAGAGGAAGTTAGCAGGAGTCATGAAAGATGGGGTTAACTCAGCAAATCGTTATTACCTGAACCGATTTAAGGATGCTTACAGGCAAGCCGTCATAGGTAAGACAAAATGCTTTTTCCTTTTGGTAAAATTTGTTGATCTCTTTTGGGGCTAATATTTGATAGAATCCAACTCTGTTAATATAACTCATACATTTTGTAATATACTTGTGCTTCTATGATGAGCATCTTAATAAATCAAATTCAGATGTTCACAAGATTAGAGTTTGGTACGTCTTTTTAGGCTGCAGCAACAAAGAAACCACCTATTTCTGTCCAGATTTGTCAGTCCTGGCATGTGGATTTTTCTGTCCTGGTATGTGGAATAAGGTATTCTAAAACCTCACCAACTGAAAATCCCATATTGCATGTATTTTCACATAATTGAAGACTGTGGGATGTAATAAAAATGGGTTTTTTTCCATGTGCTGTTTATCATATGTCTATGTTGCTATGTACCGTCGAGTCAGTTCCTACTCTTAGTGACCCTGTGCATAACAGAACAAAACCCTGCTTGGTCCTGTGCCATCCTCACAATTATTGTTACTTTTGAGCCCCTTGTTACTGCTACTGTGCCAATCCATCTCGTTGAGTGTCCTCCTCTTTTTCACTGACCCAAGCATGATGTCCTTCTCCAGGGACTGGTTCTTCCTGACAACATGTCTGAAGTACAAGAGATGAAATCTGGCCATCCTCAATTCTGGATGGACTTCTTCCAAGACAGATTGGTTTTTTGGCAGTCCAGGTGCTTTTCTTGAATAATCTCCAGGTGCCTTAATGACCTAGTTTTGCTGTGACAGAGATACCACGTGGATGCCTTTAACAGACAGAAGTGTGTTCTCTAAACGGTTTGAGAGACTGGAGGTCCAGAGTCCAAGGGCCAGCTCTCGGGGAAGCCTTTCTCTCTCTGGAGAAAAGTCTCCTTTCAGCATTTCTTGGAGAATTCCATGCATCTTGACATCAATCTTCCCCTGGGTCTAGGAGCTTCACAGTGTAGGGACCCCAGAATCAAAGGATGTACTCTAATTCTCCTAGGTTGGTGGTAGTAGGTCTCTCTGAACTCTGTTCACTTGTCTCCTTTTATGTCTCAAAAGAGATGGACTCAAGATATAAGCTAGTTCTGTAGATTGTCTCTGGCCTCATTGCCATCAGAGACACAAGGAACCCATCAGATCTGGGTAGGTCACATCAGATCTCATCATGGGGAGGTGATGACATTACTACATCACCGTCAAACTGAGAACCATGGCCTTGACAAGTTGCCACATTATTTTGCCACAATCTGACAAGTCTGCAGTAAAGGAAAGGAACCTTAGTCATGCACTAGTTAAATACTTGACTGCGAATGATCTTTCTGTCTTCTGTCTCAATTTGGCTGCCCCTAGTGTCATGCTTGGTAAAGTAGAGGGTCAATTTAAAAGAGGAGGGTCCTCAATGAGCTGGACAGACAAAGTGGCAACAACAGTGGGCTCGCACCTAACAATTGTGAGGCTGGTGTCAGTCCAGGCAGAGTTCCATTCTGTTGTGTACAGATAGGGTCTCTGTGAGTCAGAACCAACACGGTGACACCTGGCCAGTGTCTGCTTCCTCCTGGTCCTGAAGCTAACTCTCTTCAGGTTGAAAGATACCAGCCAATAGTAACCAGGGTTATGACTGCCCTTTATAAGCATACAGTTGTTAAGTGCCGTCTAGTCGGTTCTGACTCATAGTTACCGTGTATAAGGTTTACGAAGAGTTTGAACCAGCAATGAGGTTAGCAGTCCAGTGCTTATGGATGCAAATCTTTCCCAGAAACTTGATCCAGTCTTATTGGCCCAAATAACGTCAGAGGAATGGGATTAGGATAATTTGCTAAGGCATAAACCTCGTGCTCCACCGTGGTGAGTTGATGGACACTTACCTATTTTTCTTTGGTGTTATATCTAATAAATTATGCCTAATTCAAGGTCATGGAGATTTATATTTTCTTCTAAGAAAGGAACCCTGGTGGCGCTTTGGGGTAAGCACTAGACTATAACTACAAGGTCTGCAGTTCAAACCCACCAGCTGCTCCTTCGGGAGAAAGATGAAGCATTCTGCTCTTGTAAAGATTTACAGCCTCAAGAACCCTTTACAGGGTCACTGTGAGTTGGAACTGACTCGATGACAGTGAGTTTGGATATTGGAGTTGGTGTGGTATTTCCAAGAGTTCTTTAGTATTAGGTGTTACTTCTTGTTTTATATATATGCATATTGTTGTTGTTATGTGCCGTGGAGTCGGTTCCGACTCATAGCAAACCCTGTACAGGGTTTCCCAGGCTGTAAATCTTTACAGGAACAGAAAGCCTCATCTTTCTCCCGCGGAACCAGGTGGTAGTTTCGAACTGCTGACCTTAAAGTTCACAGCCTGATTCGTAACCACTACGCTACCAGAGCTCCTTATATATGCATATTAGTAACCTAAAATAATGGTTGATATTAACACTTTCATCTTAGATTTGATGCAAGGCATTCCTGTCACAGAAGATCTTTATTCCATATTTACCAAGGAGAAAGAGCATGAAGCTTTACACAAGGAAAATCAAAGAAGCCACCAGGAACTCATTAGTCAGCTCTTACAGAGTTACATGAAGTTACTGCTGCCGGATGATGAAAAGTTTCACGGGGGATGGGCCCTCATTGACTGTGATCCCAGGTGAGCTGGTCAACTTGCTAACTAACCTGCCAGTGCTGGCTGTCCAGAGAGCTACAGGCATGGCAGCATGGCGCCAGGCAGGCTTCCAGTATGCATGGTGAATAAGGCACTGGCCTTAAGTGGGCGCTGCAAAAAATCGTACTCATTTTAATGCAATATTGAATCTTGAAACTTCAAGTTGGCATATTATGGCTTGTTGCTAGGGCATGTTCTCCTCCCCTGCCCACAGATTTGAGGTGTATTATAGTAATACTAACCATGCAGCAAGAGCTGGGATGATGCTGGCTACTTGTCAGTTCTAGAGTGAGCCTAGCCTTTAATAAAATTAAATAGGCCAACAGATACGTAACATTTTTCAAACAAAAATCATTCCATTTCAAGTGGTTTCCTCAAAAAAAAAAAAAAAACTCAACGAGCAGCAGAATCTAAATTTATCCATGAATGCTTGCTTTCATGCTGAAATCTAAGCATCCAGTCTTTAACATAATGAATCTAAGCACTTCAGAAAACTGTAGAGTTAGCTCTGAGAAAAAAACAAAACACACTCTAGCTAGAGCTTGTTTTCAGGGATTACATGTGTCTTCAATCAAAGAATCACAAAACCAGCTTGAGAGAATGATTAAATGCTAGGAAGTGTTTTTATAAAAGCACTTAAATGGTGAGCAGTCATTCTGTATCTGTTCCTATGTATTTGGGGAACAGAGAAGCCCTAAGTGTCTACCTTCCGTAACTTCAGTCTCACTGCTTGTTTTGCTCTGATAATAAATATTGTGTGTGTGGATGCAATTAAAAATAAGACAGGGAGGTTTTAGTTAGCCATGTGAAATTTTGATTCATATACTTTAGGTGTTTTATTCCCCGTCGGAGTTGTTTTTTGTTTTTTTAAAAGTAATTCCCTTTAAAAAAAAAAAAAAAAAAAAAAAGTTGCAATACAACTTAATGAAGAATCAAAGAAAAGGGAACATTTTCCATTCCCCACAAAACTATTTGCAGGCAGTGCACTGCACCTCTGAGTTCATTCTTTTCAAGGTGTCATGATTGTCAATATCCAGGACTCTTGTGTCTACTCTGGGTATCACTGGAATTGTTAAGCTGTTGTTAAGTGCTGTCAAGTCAGTCCCGACTCATAGCAACCCTGTATAGGATTTCCAAGGAGCGGCTGGTGGGTTTGAACTACCAACGTTGTGGTTCGTAGTCCAGTGCTGATCCTACAGCACCACAGCATGATTCTGTCACTGAAATAAGGAGTTTATTTCTAAAGTTGACAACTGCCCTGTAGGGTGACACTACGTCTAATCATTAATTCCCAGCCCTGCAATTCTTATGGAACATGGGTACCTTGGTTAAACAGTATTTTAAAGAACATAATGTATTTGTAACTATGCTATTTAAAGTATGTAATGACATTTAGGGTGTGGTACTGTAGGATAAGCACTGGACTGCTAACTGCAAGATTGGTGGTTCAAACTCACCAGCTATTCCTCGGAACCCTATTCCGGGTCACTATGAGTTGGAACCCACTCAACAGCACTTCACAGCATACTTAGTAAGACTCAGTAGAAACCTCTTGCATTTAAGGAGAGATATGCAAACACTTGGACTTATTTCTGGCAATTGGATTTCATTGGCACCTTGTAAGTGAATGGTGCTGTATTGAACCAAAATACCTGTGAAACAAGAATCACTTTCTAAGATCAGGTCGTTAAGGAATCTCAGTTGGGTGATTAGTTGCCTAGATCTCTTCATTATGTTCTTCGCTCCCAAATGCCTACTTCAGAAATAACACAGTTATGCTTCAATAGTATCCTTTCTTCAGTGATAACAATGAACATTTTTTTCCTATTTTTGACTCCTACCCCACTTCAATATCCAGCAGGTCCACTCTTCACTTTTATTTAAATCTGCTAGCAGGGAGCCAGTGATTGCATTCTGCAAATCTCTTTGAAGTTCCTAGCCTGACTCTGGAAGCACAGGTCCTAACCCTGCCCTGGCTTGTTGGTCCCATGTGGGCAGTACTTGTGAGGCACACTTTCCACAAAAGCAGTTATTGCTCCCTTCACCACAAGGCGCAGAAGACAGGTGTGGCTTCCTTTCTGATGGGTATCATGTGCCCATTTAAACAGAACTGTTTTCTCTCCGTCTTCATTAGGCAATTCTTAAGGGACGCCTCTACACCTCTTCTAATAATACCTTTCTACTTTGCCTTCAAGGAGCTCTGGAAGCGTAGTGGTTATGAATCGGGCTACAAACTGCAAGGTCAACAGTTGGAAACTACCAGCTGTTCCACGGGAGAAAGCTGGCACTTTCTGCTCCCATAATGATTTACAACCTCGGAAACCCTGTACAGGGTCGCTATGAGTTGGAACCGACTCCACAGCATATAACAACAACCACTTTGTCTTCGGAGAGCATGGTGGTTCCATAAGATATTGGACTGCAAAGCAGTGCTCTGAGCCCACTGAGCATTCTGAGGAGAAAGATGAGGCTTTCTGCTCCTGCAAAGATTTACAGGCTCGGAAACCCTATGCAGGGTCACTATGAGTCAGAACCGACTTGACAACACTTACCAACACTTTGTCTTGGGTGTTCAGCACCCTTTCTAATACTGTGGTATTTCTCCAAATTTCCCAGTGGTGTTTGTGTTGTTTCTAAGGCTTAAAAAATTTCCCCCTTCCTCTTTTTATTTTAAAGGTTTTTATTGTGGATTGAGTGAAAGTTTACAGGGCACATCATCAGTTTCACATTCAACCATTCATATAACTTGTTTCATTACATTGATTATTATCCCCTCCATATATCATCAGTTTACAGTGTTTCTCTCCATCCTCTTCAGCTTTTTTTGGGGGGGGCCCTTTCTCTTGAAGAGAGACATTTGAGTTGAGATGTTGAGATGTCTTGCGTGTTTGAGTTTTCTGTAGCAGCTCTGTCCAGTACATCAGCTGAATTGAATATGTGAATCCAGAGTGGCCAGTCTCTGGGAGAAGACAATAGGAGTGGCTCTGGGAATAGTTGTCAGGACTTTGGTCCCTGGGCACCAGCTAGCAGAGGCCAGGGGCAGGTTACTCTTGGGCTTAGGCACCACTACCTACTTACCTCAGCCATCTGAGCCTGGGGTGAGCTTTTTCTAAATGCAGCTTTATTAAAATTTTCTTTTTATGTTGTTAAGTGCTGTTGAATCAATTCTGACTCATAGTGACCTTGTATAGGGTTTCTGAGGCGCGGCTGGCAACTTTGAACTGCTGACCTTGCAGTTCAGCGCATTAGCCCACAGCTCTATACCAGGACTCCATTGAATTTAATTCTTATAGTTTAATTCCTATAGTTCACCCATTTAGAACATACAATTCAGTGGTTATGTGTAGCTGTCACCATGATCCAGTTCAAAACATTTTCATCATTACAAAGAGAAACTTCAACCCCCCTGCCTCTCCGTCCCCCATCCCTAAACAGCCCCCTAGTCTATTGCTGTTAGGTGCCATCGAGTTGGTTCTGACTTAAGCAGTATACAGTAGGCTGAAACACGGCATTGTCCTGCCCTGTTCTCAGTCTTCATCTTTGAGCCCGTTGCTGCAGCCACTGTGCCATTCTATCTGTTGTTCTGTCTTGAGAGGCTTCATCTTTTTTGTTGACTCTCTACTTCACCAAGCTTGATGCCTTCTCCAGGAATAGTCCCTCCTGATAAATTGTCCAGAGTATGTGAGAGTTTTGCCATCTTCACTTCTAAGGAGCAATCTGGCTATACTTCTTCTTTTGACAGTCTATATATTCAGCATTCATATTTTATATTCTTCACAAACACCGTAATTCAAAGGGATCAGTTCTTCTTTGGTTTTCTTTTCATTATCCAGCTTTTGCATACATAGAAGGCAATTGGAAATGCTATGACTTGGGTCAGGCCTACTTTGGTGTTAGGCGCCATCACATTGGTTCCAACCTTCTGCACAACAGAACGAAACACTGCCCAGTCCTGTGCCAGCCGCACAATCATGGTTAAGCTCGAGCCACTTGTTCCTGGCACTCGACCTCATTGGGGGTGTTCCTCTTTTTCACTGACTCTCCATTTCAGGGACTGGTCCCCCCTGAGAATATATCTAAAGTATGAGAGACCAAGTCTTGTCTTCCTGGCTGCTTAGGAACTGTCATTCTTCTAACACAGATTTGTTTGTTCTTCTGACAGTCCATAGTACTTTTAGCATTCTTCTCAGTACCATAAATCAAAGGCATCAATTCTTCTCTGGTCTTTCTTACTCATTGTTCAACTCTCACATGCTTAGGAAGTTACTGAAAGCACCATGCCTTGAAGGGTCGGGAGCCTCCTTAGTCCTCAAACTTCGGTCATCCAAATGACTTTGCTTTGCTTTTTAAAACTTTGAAGAGATCTTCTGAAGCAGATTTACACTGTGTGATTCTTGATTGTTGCTTCCATTGAAATTGTGGATCCAAGTAGAATAGAATCATTAACAATTCAGCCTCTTCCTCACTCTGCGTGCTGTTGTGTATTGGTTCTAGTTAAGATTTTTGTGTTCTTCATGGTTAGACATACTCCAGTCTTTGACTAATGGTGTCAAACTGTCATCATTTTTAGCAAGCAAGGTTGTATCATCTACGTATCAGATTATTAATGCTTTTATTATATAGTCTGGCTTCAAGGATCTGTTCAGAATACAGATTCAGTCATGTGAAAGAATAAAACAATCCTGCCATACACCTTTCCAAGTGTCATTATGCAGCATTCCTTGTTCTGTTCAAATGACTGCCTTGTGATCCTTGCCCCATCCCCCACGAACACCCCACCACCACCACCATAGTCTAGTCTCTGACTCTGGAGCTTCCTGTTTTGGACATTTCATATAAATGGAATTCTGTATGTGGTCTTGTGTGACTGGCTTCTTCAAATGTGTTTTCAAGGTTCCTGGATGTTGTGGCAATTTTCAGTACTTCATGTTTTTTATGACTGAGTAATACTCTCTTATATGGATAGACCGTATTTTACTATTGATCCATTCACTGGTAGACATTTGGGTGGTTTCCACTTTTTTGCTACTATGAATAAGGCGCCGCAAACATGGATGTGCAGGGTTTTGCATGAACATACGTTTTCATGCCTCTTGTCTATTCTCTGGACTAGGATTAAACTGGATGGTCCCTGTGGTAATTCTGTGTATAACCTACGAGAAACTGTCAAACTATTTTGCACAGTGACTGCACCATTTTAAATTTCCACGAGCAGTGTTTGAAGACTCCAGTATCTCCACATCTCTCCAACACTTGTTATCTTCTGTTTTTTACTTTTATTTCAGACAATCCAGTAGATGTAAAGTGGTATCTCCATGTGATTTTGATTTGCACTTTGGCGCTGTGGGTTAATGCACTGGACTGCAAAGTCGGTTTGAACCACAAGGTTGGCAGTTCAAGTTCACCAGTCGTTCCTTAGAAACCGTATACAGGGCCGCTATGGGTCAGAACCGACTCGACGGCACTTAACAACAACAACAACAACAAATGAGTCCTATATGGCACTGTAGGATAAAATAAGCTCTAGACTGCTAACCTAAAGGCCAATAGTTCAGCTCCCCCAGCTGCTCCTTGGAAACCCTATAAAGGGTTGCTATGAGTCAGAACTTACTCAACTGCACTTAGCATCAGCAAGGAGCCCTGATATAGCACTGTAGGATAAGCACTAGACTTCTAATGATAAGGTCAGCAGTTAGAACCTACCAGCTACTTGGCTGGAGAAAGATGAGTCAGTCTGCTTCAGTAAAGATTGATAGCCTTGGAAACCCTCTGGTGCAGTTCTCCTCAGGCCTACAGGGTCCCTGTCAGTCCAAATCAATTTGACAGCAGTGAGTTTGGATTTTAGTTTCGGAATGCTTAATGAAGGAGCTTGATAGCACAGTGGCTGAGTGATGGCACAGTGGCTGAGTGATGGCATAGTGGCTGAGTGATCAGCTGCTAACCAAAAGATAGGTGACTTAAACCTACCAGCAATCCATGGGAGAAAATGTGGCCATCTGCTTTTGTAAAGATGACAGCCTTGGGGACCCTATGGGGCACTTAGTTTGACTCTGTCCTACAGGGTCTCTGTGAGTCCTAATGGACTTGGTGGCAGTGGGCCTGATTTGGGTAATGACAACTGATATTGCGCATCTTTTCATGTGCTTCTTGTCCAGTTGTGTATCTTCTCTGGAGCAAAGTCTATTCAAATCCTCTATTGTTAAGTGCCGTCTTCAAAACATAGGGACCCTGTGTACGGTTTCAGAGGAGCAGCTGGTGGATTGAACCGTCAACTTTGTAGTCAAGTGCTTTTACTACAGTGCCACACCAGAATGCCCTAGCCTCTTTGTAAAACCAGGTGGTTCTTTCAATGTTGAGGTGTGCTCTGTTTTTAACTGGCTGTGATTAGGGTGAGGTGAGTGAGGTTGGGTTGTATAAGTGCAGGCTCCGGTCTCATCTTTGTTGGGTATTTTGATCATGGATTTTTTTGATGTACTTTTTAGATTTTTTTTTTTTTTTTTTAATATAGCACTAAAAGTTCTGTATCTTGGAGAGGGTTTTTTGTGCTTTTTTAAACCAGAAGCCAGAGAGCTGGTTCAGCTCTCTGCAGCCCTGGCTGTTTAAAATCTGACAGGTAAAGAGCTATAGCAGGCATTTTACAATCGGAATCCACTCCATGGCAGTGGGTTTCGGGGGCGTTTCCCACCTGGAAGGCCTTGTGGACGATCGGGCACGCCCACGGGAGCTGTCCAGCACGGGAGCCGGCAGAGCGAGCCAAAGTTGGCAGGACCCTTCCCGTGGTGGCGACACGCGGGCCCACCTTTCCTGTTTCTTGGCAGACACTGGGCACCCCTGAGCCTCTGGAACGCAGACGGGGCCTCCCGGGCTTTATAGCCTCTCCCTCCCTCATCCTACCCTCGCCCCTCGCCCCCACTGGACGATCGACAACTTCAATCACATCCGATAAGTCCCGAAGGTGCGCCACGGCCCGAAAGAGGAGACCCAAAATTTGAAGGGAGACCAGGTGTACTGTAAAGGGCCCTTCAGAATTGCCACCGAGCCACCTTGGCCACCAAAGGTGGATCGCCACCACCTTTTCTAGCCCTTGCCCAGGAGCGGGGGACGGGAACCATCCCGGTACCGCCATATGCTCAGCCATGCTATCCTGGCCGCCCCCTCACGTTCTCGCGGCAGCAGGGGGCACCCGAACGACTGCCACTTTGTTGCCGCACCCAGCGGCGTCTTGGGGGTCCTTGCCCTGTACAGTGTGCTGGCAAGGCAGGGTGGGCGCGCATGCGCACTGGCCTCCCACCGCGGCCGGAAGTGGGCGGCCGGAAGCCTTCCGCGTCTCCTGGGCGTGACTTGGCGCTGCCGCGTCGCAGTTGCCGCATTCCCCGCATTCGCTGCAGGCGCGAGGCAGGGTACGGGTAGCTTCCTGACAGAGCCTCGAAGCATCGACGCACAGACAACCTGACGAGATGCCGCGCTCCCACAGGCCTCCGCCTGCGGCCCCGCGCCCAGCTGCCGAACCCAAGTCAGACGGCGTGCTGGCGATGACTTTCAAGATTTTCCTCCTTTTTGCAGGACTTATGGTCAAAGTTCCTGTAGGGCTGTATTTTTCCTGTAAATTACTCCTTTTCCAAAGCCTCATGTTAATGTCCCCCGAAGACAGCGCCTTTTACGCGACCATCGTCGCGGTGGTGGGGCTCCATGTGGTGCTGGCCATTTTCGTGTTCATAGTGTGGAAGGAAGGCTTGCCCCAGTGGCGGGAAAACAAAAAGCAGTAGCGCAGCTTCTCCTCGGAGCTGCACGCCTGGGGGGTGGGGAGGCGCAATGGGGTGTCGTCTTTTGCTTTTCTTGATCGTATTTTAAAATATTATTTTTTATTTAAAAGCGGGGACGGGAAGCTGGGGAGGGGACATCAGTATTTACTGCAGCTGAGACTTCAACAAAAATGGGGGGGGGAGGGGGGCGACCATTTCCCACCGCCTGTTCCGTACCAAGTGGTTTTCGTTGGGGACATAATGTTTGGGACTGAGGATCGCGTGTGTCGGCTGTAAATACTGGAAGGTCGTCACCCTAGTCCCACTGTCGTTTACGAGGAATAGACTTGCCTCTTGACCTACCAAACGCCGTGTCGTGACGTCATTTGTCTGGCTGGCCCGGCCGCAGGTGAGTGTCCGCAGGTGGCGGGGGTCGCTGGGCATGGTTCCCGGGTGATGGATGGAGTTTGTGTTCTGATCTGGGTAGACCGTGACTACTACCTCCTCCCCACCCACCACTTCTCTATCAGACGGAGGTTTGTGTGTTTGCCTCTGAACTTAGCCCAGTCGTTGTTGCCTTTTGGGGTCGATTAGGGCAGCATTGGTGTCGCGGATGAAGGCTGTGTTGGGAAGCGCCCCCCTGCGGTACCCCCAGAACACTGACCTCAGTCCAGCCCCTCCACTTGCTGGTGACTGGGACTTACGGCCGCATTCTGCATTCTGCTGAGACTGGAACCCTAGCGGTCGGCTCTGACCCGGGCCAAAAGGCTCTTACTCCTGTTAGCTACCTCCATACAATTAATTACTCATGTTAGCTGGCTCCATACAATTAATTACTCATGTTAGCTGGCTCCATACAATTAATTACTCATGTTAGCTGGCTCCATACAATTCGTCACTGGACTGCGAGCCACAAGGTCCGTGGTTTGAGCCCGCCAGCCGCTCCGAGGGAGAATGATGATGCTCTCTGTTCCCGCAGAGCTGTAAAGCCCGGGAAACCCTATACTGGGTCACTATGAATCGGAACCAACTTGGAGGCACGTAACAACGGTAACCTGTTAGATTCTGGTTCGGCTGCGATTTCGAGTTTCATGTGAAGTCAGATTCGGCCTGTTCCTTGGTTATTGATGGGGCTTCTCTTTAGGCCGGGACTTTCTTACCCACAATCAGCAGGATGTCTGATTTGCTGTTGTTTTGGTTTAATGGGTCTTAGTACTAGGTCCATTTCTGATACTTGATTTTGAAGCTTGGATATAAATACGGCAAAACTGACTTAGAAGAAGGAATTACTTGAAAGTCAGGTAAAGAAACCTATCAAGAAAAATGCAAAAGCTGTAGAGGCTTGTTCACGGATGCACAGCCTCGGTGTGGGTCCTTTCTCAAACTGCATCCACAGGAGTGTAAAATACCCGGATTGTACAATGCTGTCTTGAAGTTTTAGATGCAAGATCATTTTCTACTTGATGTCTCCCTTCTCCCACCTTCCCCCCGCCCCCTCCCATCACCAGGTCCTTCTTCTCTGCCCCTCCCCCCATCGCAGATCCTGATCTTTACATTGGCCACCGGATAGATGGTATTGCAGTTTATATAAGTAGGTACTTACTGATTCTTTTATTGTCTTCATTATGTTGTCTGACCAATCTTCTGTTGTAAATGGCAGGGCTGTAGAATATGCTTGGCAGAAATGCAGATGACAATGTTTAATTCCCTGTGTCCTGTTTGTTTAGCCTCATTGATGCTACTCACAGAGATGTGGATGTGCTGTTACTGCTTTCTAACTCTGCCTATTACGTGGCCTAGTAAGTTGCTTATTCATTTAAAGCTTTTAAAATGTGTTCCATTTTAAGAACTTGTTTCATTTTAGCATGTTTATTTTTAAATGTGGGAATTTAGTTCTATTTTAAGGAATTTCATTGAACCCTCCTTTCTTCCGTAACTGTTACTCTTGCTTTGATTCTTACTATGTAGAAATTGTGATTTTTAGAGTTAATTTTAGATTTTAGAGTTATCATCACTGGGTTCGTATAGTACTGGGTTTTTGTTTTTAAGCATTCAGTAGTATTTCCTACATGCCTACTAGCGTTTTGATTCACCCTATTTATTCTCATTATTATTGGCCATATATCTTTGTTTTTATTATGATGGGACACTGAGTTAGTGCCTGTTTTTTGCTAGGATAAATCATGCAGCAGTCTCTGCAGATAATACGCACCCAGCCAGTTTCTGTAGTCACACAGAGGGGTTGAGGAATTGTCTGTGACTTGTCAGTCTGCACTGACGTCCTCATAGCATGCCAGAATTGGGTTTTGTTTTATTCTTTCTTTTAAAAAAAAATAAGTATTCACTTTCTTATTTTTGTCTTATGTGAACTACCGTTTCTTAGTCTTTGTGTCTATGGGCCTCAATGGACTTTCATTCTTGACTTAGATTCAGGTTTCTCTCTGGGCCATTCACAAGGGCAGCATCTCAGTGTAGGCGGATGTGTGTGTGTGTGTGTTGCCTTTTAGGTATGCTGTTTTTCATTTTATTTAAGTTTTTATAAAACTGGAAAAAAAAATTTTTTTGCCATGTAATTAATTTCTTTTAATTATATGATCTGTAAGCTGATTTTCCTTTGACTGTCGAACTGAGATATTCTTGTTTCATCTAGCTTTTAAAATATTTCTCATGTGTTAACTGTTATACTCCTGAATATATTGTACTGTGAAGGATTTTGCTATTTTAACTGTATAGTAATTTGTTACTATTAAACCTCAGCTAACAAACCAACTATGATATTAATTCCCTTTTTGCTCCCTTTCTTTTTGTCTAGTTATGATGACGAAGTTGATAAAGTAAACCAATACCAACGACTAAGTCTAGAAGACCTGGAAAAAATAGAAATAGGTAAATTTTAGTATACTATCCAAATCATAGAATTCCTGGTGTGGCACTGTAGGATTAGCTCTGTACTTCAAACCACAAAGTCGGCAGTGCTCCTCAGAAACCCTGTACAGTGGTCACTACGAGTCAGAACTGACCTGCTGTCCCTGAACAGCAGCAGCAACAATCTAAATGATAAGGAGCCTGGTAGCACAGTGCTCAACTACTCAGCTACTAACCGGAAGGTTGGCAGTTCAAATCCACCAGCCACTCTGCGAGAGAAGGATGTTGTGGTCTGCTGTCACCAAGCCTTGGAAACTCTCTAGGCCAGTTGTGATTTGTCCCGTAGGTTTACTGTGAGTCAGAGTTGACTCCATGGCTGTGGGGTTTTGGTTAGCCAAGTCATAGAAGAAGGGGGAAAAAAAAATACTTTTTAAGAGGTGTTTGAATGATTTAACTTAATAGATACAGAAAGAGATAGACTAAGCCGTCGATATCTTAAGACTTCGTTTGTGTTTATTGGAAATTAGTTACACACTATGGGTTAAGCACTGGCAGGATCCCTATGAGTTGGAACCAACTCAACAGCATCTAACAATAACAAAATAATCATATAATAACTGTAAATCTTAATATTTGCCTTGTGACAGTTAACCCAAGGATCAAGGAAGTAGAAATATTTTAAGATTGAAGAAAATTTTTATTTTACGTTTAGCTTCATCAAATCTAAAGGTTATGATACGTTTGTGTTTTGTGTGCTCTGATTTAGGTTGTAAAGAAACATATACTAAGTACCTCATTGATATGGTCCTTTGAAGGTACAGAAGTGAATGTGAATAGTGTATGAAAGGTGTAACTTTACATATATCCATTTGGGGGTTTAGGTCCTGAACCCACTCTTTTTGGGAAACCAAAGTTCTCCTGTATGCGACTGCACTACAGATGCAGGGACACCAGTGGCTACTTCCACACGCTGAGAGCTGTGGTGCGCAGTCCCGATGAGGACGGCAAAGGTAAGAGGAGGAGAGACCTCCATCATGAGCTGAATGAATGAAAGCTCTTCCAGGACAGTAGTGAAGGGTTTGAGATCATGAAACACCCAGTTGGTTCCCAGCAACAGAGTGTATGATATGAAGTGATAGTGTAGTTTAGGGCAAAGGACTCGGTAATGGAAGTGCTCTGTGAGTTTGACTTAGAACCAACGAGCTTTCCCCACCACATTCTCCACCATGGGTAGTAGTCAGGGATTGTAAACATGGGGGCATTGGACCTTCTTGTTTAATTCCATAAGGGGCTAGGAGAATCACCATCAGTATCTACAGCCCAAGGCTGATGGTTAAGAGTTGGAGGTCAGCCATCTCTCCATCCTCCAGCCTTTGTATCAAAATGACACCAGCTGTACCTGCCACTCTGGGGTTGACAGGTCATTGCGGTGACCTCCTAGAACTCACAGACCAACCGTGTTCACAGTTACAGGGTTATTAGGAAAGTAATAGTCAGCAGTGCAGGAGCGAGCTTGACTCAGGGTAGTTGTCAAGGCCAGCTGCTTCTCAGCAGGGCCTGCAGGCTGGCCTCTTTCTGGCTCTTTCCCTTGAGCCCTGTCTAGGGGCAAGTGTTGACAGAGCTCTTTAGCTGTGCCAGTAAGTGCTTGTAGACAGCCCACCCTGCCAGTTAGCCTCATCCCAGAGGCACTCAGCTTTTTAGTTGGTGAACCTAGTTCTGCCTGATGCACGCAGACACCCTGCTCCACCAGTAAGCCTCCTGCCTGAAGGTACTCAGCAACTGCTGTGTGGGCCAGGAAGCCCAATGCACCATCTTCTCTGGGTTCTACTGCCACTTGTCACTATCTTGTACCATCTCTGATATTACAACACTCTTGTCTTCTGCATCTAGGAGGTTCTCAAAGTATGTGCTCTGCTCTTATTTCTTCTTTTGTGGTTATAAGGGTCCCCGCTTTCCCTGAGATGGTTCACTTAGAGTTGATTGGGCTGGTAAAACTGAGTAACCCCTTTGGTACGGTTCCATGCACCTTATTTGCATGACACAACCCACAAGGGTGCCATGCATCTTCTTGTTATTAAATGCTGTCGAGTTGATTCCTACTCATAACAGCACTGTATACATTTCCAAGGAGTGGCTGGTGAGCTTGAACCACCAACCTTGTGGTTCAAACCAACCTTGTAGTCCTGTGCATTAACCCACAGCACCACACCAGGACTCCACCATGCACTTTACATAGTCTTTCTATCCTGTCTTGTAACTTCCACCAAATGATTGGGTGGGAGTATGCAAATAAGGTGCTAAGGTCCACCAAGAGAATTAGACAACTTGCTAATAAAATACAAGCCACGCATCTCACTTATATTATGGTTTTTAAAAGTTTGATTACGTATATCTAGCAGAGCACACCGAGTTAGTAGTTTGTACAATTCATGGTGTTGATGACATGCAACTATTCTCAGCTTCCTTTTCTAAATTGTCTCCCCCCCAACATTAACATAAACTCACTTCCCCATGTCTTTGGCTAGGTTCTCTAGAGGAGCAAAACCAGTGAAGTCTACGGTATCCATGGAAGATTTATTTCAAGGAAATGACTCACAGTTGTGGCTGGCAAACCCCAAGTCTGTTGGTCAGGTGTCAGACTAGAGGATTCTTCTGGCTCGTGGTTGTAGAGACTGTTGGTCCTACAATTGGCTGTTAGGCTGTGGCTCACAGAACTGCAGGTTGGACAGGCTGCAGGGCCACATCTCATGAACAGGGAGTCAGAAGGTGATAAATCAGTAAATCAGATGCTGGATCAATAGGGAATATGGACCCCTAATATTCCTGTCTGATCATTGCAGCTATTGATTCAATCCCATGTAGACAGCTCTTCTAAGAACACAATGCTCAAGGCAGACACTTCTTTAACCTAAACTTCTTTGATTTTAAGTAGACTTCAGGGATGTTTTTAGTGTAAGGCTTAAATATGATCTCAGGGCACTTTTTTCCCTTTTGACCAAGATTCTTTTATAGAATCTTTGATCAGAACAGAACTGGAGCCACCTTTTAATTCCACTTGCTTTGCGTCTCTTGTTCTCTGTGTTCACATTTGAATGTTTTGGAGAAGGTGGCAATCTGTCAATTTCGTGTTTCAGATACTCTTCAGTGCATTGCGGAGATGCTGCAGATCACCAAGCAAGCCATGGGCCTGGATGTCCCTATAGTTGAGAAAAAACTTGAAAGGTGAGTGGTATAGTACTTTGCCTTTCTCTTAAGAATAAAGCCGTTGTCTGTAAAGGGGGGAGGTCAGATTAGGGTACTGTGTTAGTATTTAGAGAGGGAAACATCATATTTACCTGAATCAAAAAGCATTCTTAGCCACCAGCTACTCTGTAGGAAACAGGTGTGGCAGTCTGCTTCTAGGAAGGTTGACAGCTCTACTGTTCTGTGGGATGCAATGAGTCAGAAGCAACTCAGTGGCAGTGGGGTTAGACCATTTGCTTAATTGAGTTTATCCATTAGTAATGCACTGTTCTTAACTGAGTTGCCTCAGTTAGCACTGCACTTGTTCTTAATTGGCACAACTGTAAAAAGTATTTTCGCTCACATTTGTATTGGCCCTGATCTATTGGATTCCATAGGGAATTCACTTTTTCACTTCTCATTTACAGGAAGAGCAGTAAACCTCATGAAGACATCATTGGTATCAGATCTCAAAACCAAGGCTCTTTGGCCCAAGGAAAGAGTTTTTTAATGAGCAAATTCTCATCTTTCAATCAAAAAGTAAAACAGACAAAATCCACCGTAAACATTGGCAATCTACGAAAGCTAGGAAATTTTACAAAACCGGAAATGAAAGTTAACTTTCTGAAACCAAACTTAAAAGTCAATCTTTGGAAATCAGATAGTAGTCTTGAAACCATGGAAACCACAGGTATGATAGACAGTAAAGACCAGGTGGAATCTGACGGGGAGATGTCTTCAGAAAATGACTCGTATCACTCCGATGAATTCCTTACCAATTCCAAGTCTGATGAAGATAGGCAGCTAGCTAACTCTTTAGAGAACGTAGGGCCAGTGGACTATGTCCTCCCTAGTTGTGGTATTATTGCTTCAGCACCTCGGCTAGGCAGTCGATCCCAGTCTAGAAGCAGCACTGATGTCAGTATTCCCGCTCCTTCTGAGATTACTACCACACGTGGAAGTGAGCTTGGAATGGGCCCTGACTCGCCTTTGAAGAAGAGTCCTTCTGCAGACCACATACACGTGTCAACTGCCTTTGCCAAGCCTGTGGATCATTACTGCCATAGATTTGTGCAGGATGCACAGAACAAAATGATGCCCCCTTTGGAAACTGGGTCTGTTTCTCAGCAGGCTAGTGAGGAGGGCAGTCAAGCAACCAATCAAGTTTCTAATGAAGACGCCCGGTTGGAAGCAGTGGAGCAGACACCTTCTCGGCCTTCTCAGCTAGATGTGTCTTTCTCTGCAAAAGGCCCACGGTTGTTGTCCACTGAGTCAGTGCATTCCGTTGTATCTCAAAAGACCCCAGGCTCTGGATCCAGCGTGCTTGAACTTGAGACAGGGCATAACATAGTAACTCCTTCTCCCTCAGAAGGTAGCAGCAGCAGAGCAGTTTCTCCCTTTGCAAAGATCAAAAGTTCCATGGTCCAGGTTGCTAGCATCACCCAAGCTGGATTAACACATGGGATCAACTTGGCAGTGGCCAAAGTTCAAAAGAGTCCTGCAGAACCTGAAGTGGTTAATGAAGTCCAGCAAAATGAACTCAAAAACATGTTTACACAATGCCAGACACGAATCATCCAGATTTAGTTTTTAGACATAAAGAATCCCATGGCTTTTATCTAATCCCGAAGGTGGTTTCATGAATTAGCCTATTGTTATTTGTATTGTCTTTGAATCTAGGGATCACACATTCTAATGACGTTTCTTGGAAAAGGTTTTAAAGTGAGTCTGAACCGCAGGGGATTTCCACATCGGACCACCAAGTGCATTGTCTGAAAATGCACAGGTCCGAGTAGCATACACACTACAAAGCACCCGTCCCTTTGGAAAGTCATTCAGGGTAGGTCATTTGGGACAGCACTTGAGCCTTCTTGGAAGTTGGGGGTGGGGGATGGGTGGAATGTATGAAGTAGACACGAAAAATAGGCATGGCCATGTTTAAGAGGATTAGTGTTTTTTCATCATTTTTTGTTCTTTGCCCATTATACATAGTACCTCTCTACAAGGTAGGTAAATACATTTCATTTCTAATGACTAAAATGTTAAGGTCTAGAAAAGCATTTGAATATACAAAGCTGTTGGGTTTCCTTTCAATGGCGTAACCATTCTCTGTGAAGAGTTGGGAGTTACTGACTGTCCTGTTGAGAAATGTGTGCTCCTTTAACTCTCCTCAGGTGTTAAGTATTCTGTAACCTGCACATCTGACAGACTGAGAGCATGAAGACTAGCCAGGAAGTAGACCCAAGTACATTAGATTTGTAACTTAATTCTGCTGTTTGTAGGAAAACTAAATGTGTACTGGTTACTGTTAGAGAAAGCATCCTTCAAATTCTAATTTTTCTCCAAGGGGACATTCCTCAGTATTTCCTGTAGATTATTACAACTGTAGACAACTGGCTCTGCAGCACACCTGTGCTCAAGTTGGTTGTGCGCCTGACTTCTGACCACGTCGAACCAGCAGCTCTTCTGTGAATCCACAGTGAGAACGCTGCACTCGCACGCCATACCCCAGTTAAGGATTGGTTTGTTTGGTATGTTTAGAGCTTTACTCTGTGAAGTCAACATTATGTCTGTTGTAACTTTGATAACAAGCATTTCCACTTTTGTTATTTATTAGTGGTATCTTTTATTTGAAGTGTCAAATCTTGTGACTATTTAAAATAAAATGCCATGGCAATTTAAAGTGATAATATGTATGAGAATTAATTAAATAACATTTTTAAAATAAAGGTTTCATTTTAAATCAGATCAAAGAATTTATAAACAGGGTACATGTGGCACTGAAGGATAAGCACCCACCAGTCAATCCTTTGAAATCCTATACAGTGTTGCGACAAGTCAGAACAAACTCTACTTCATTGAAGTTTACTATAACCAAACACTTAATCCCAATCTTTCCCTATGTTTAACTCCTCTCAAGTGTTTGATAAAATGGGCCACAGACGATCTGCTCTGAAAGCCTAAGCATTGGAAACGGTGTGCTGTATTCTGTTCTCACTGCCTTTCCCTCTGGGCTTGCACGCATTTATTTCAAAAAATAAAACATCAACATCATGGGGTTAAGGCATCTATGCTCCACAAGTATTTGTTCTAAAGAGATTTGTTTTAGAAGACTGGAATCTGTAAAAGGTAATGCTGCCTTCTCAACGGTGGTGGGAGGGATGTTTGCTTGGTCTCCTGAGCTGCCCCAGGGAGGAAAGAGCTTCTGGAGCTTGCAAACAGAGCTCTACTCTCCTGATGGGACTTTACAAGAGACACAACCCTGAACCTCCCATCAAGTGGACATTAGATGCGGAGTTTTAGAATTCATGAAAACAGCCTCAGGGACTTGTAACTAGGGAAGAAGTTTGATTTATTGGAGAGGAACCAGTTGGCTTTTCAAGGAAACTTTTCTGCAAGACCAAGCAAATGATGTACTTCTCTTTGGTAAATTACAGTTCACATTTTGGCACAATAAACACACTGGTAACTGATCTGCTCTTGACCAGTTAATAGAAAATGAATTTTCTGACATCCAGTTGAGCCTGCATTTTATTTCTAGAAGTTTAAGGTCTAGTCTACCAGTTATAAAAATGAAAACCAGTTAAGAGTTCTAAATATAAACAGATTATTTACATTTGTTTATAAAAATAGATGTGCATTTAGGAAAAGTTAACAATGTTAAACAATTAGTAACTTTCAGTTCCCAGGCAGAACACATTCCTTGATTTTCAAGGCTGACCCTGTTTCCTGTTAGCAGTGTCAGTTGAGGCCTATATAGAACAAGCCCTCACTGATTGGATTTCTAAGGTTCTCAACTAGAGAATTACTGGTGAAATTATAGATATAATTGATAGGTAATGTTCTAACCTTTCCAAAGAATCTTGTTACCACAATTATAGTAGTATTAATTTGCATTCTAGTTATGAGTAATGATATTTTTGTCCTGAAAATCTTCATAAAAAACGAATGGTCTGGGGAAAACCTATGAATTCAATTATCTCAGGCCATTACTGAACTAGCAGATAATGTCACTTGATCTAACACATTTGAAACTAAAAAATTAAAAATACAATCAAAAGAGCACCTAAATGGTATTTGTAAAATAGTGCTTTTTTTTTTTTTTAAGAGATTTTACTTTGTTTTATTGATGGTTTTGTTGGCTATTTTGCTCAATTTGTTTGGGCAGAACACCTGGGTGGGGCAGCACTCCCTCACATGAGTGAATGAAATGAGGAAATAAAGGACAGTGTGTGGTCCCACCCCCAAAACAAGCTACTTTCCCCCCCCCCCCCGGGGGGGGGGGGGGAGTATTAATACATATTTCAGGTTACTTGGCAAAACAAATTGGCAACCTTGTCCAAACCCTTTGGGAAATATTATTGGTCCATGACATGCTAAAGTCTGGGAACCACTACTATGACAAAGATGATTCTTCAGGCTGCTGCCAGCCGCCCCGAGCAAGCTGTAGCGGCCAATGCTTAGGAAATGAAGCTACAGAATTCCTGGAGTCATGTGAGCTAACAGAAATGTATCCCATTTCCCAAGCCTTGGCCAGCGAACCCTCAGAACCACTCTTTACTGGAATGGAAATCTGAAGTGAAAACTCTGACTCTTGAAATCTCAGCTGTTTTCTTCACATGATCATTTCACTAAATCTAGCCTCTGACTTAAACTGAAGCTAAGGAAATGTGTAATCAGCAACATTATCAGTATTAAACTTTAATATCAAATACATTTTTGTACATTGTTACTAAATTTTATGTAATTAAAAAACAAACTTCAAAAGCTCCAAAAATCAGTAAGGTAAAAGAGCTCACTGAACATCATATAAATTTCAGATGTTACCAGGCTAGATTTCAGGAAAAGTCATTGGTTTTTAATACAAATTTATCTACAAAACCATGGTCTAAATGATAACTGACTTGTACAATCACGTGGCTATAATTTGCACATCCCTTTGCACAGGTGTCTTTAAAGCTCATTCCCATTGACACATTTCTGCTGTTGCAGGCGAGTTCTTCTCAAAGACTCAAGGTGCTTTGCTCTCAGCCATCGTTCTCTCGACAGCGTTGTCTGACCAGCACTAAGAGACAGAAACCTGATTTGAAATACAAAAACAAATTTAAGTCCAGACCTAGGAACACTCTTTAAAACCACATTTGGCGAGAGAAGCTGCAATAGCTACAGAGGAGTCAAGAGCCGAGTTAGATCTCAATGGAATCTGTTAGCGCTGTATTCAGACGGCAGCTCAGTCTAAAAGGCAAAAAAGTGCACTTCCAATTTTGTGCCTGCCTCAATTAGTTTGTACATAAATCAGGGAAAACACACAAGGCCTACTGAAAAAGCTGTGCTGGGCAGCGGCCCTCAGCAACGCTGAGGGTTGGCTCCACGTCACTGCAGTCACGTGAGCTCCATGGAGCCTGGGCTGTTCCAAGTACTGTGAGAATTACTGATAAGTGACACACACATGAAATGAGGACATGTGGTTGGAAAATGGCTCAGCACTGACACAGTTTGCAGAGAAAGTGCAATAAAAGGCAGTGTGCTTACCGAGCGACAATCAGTAACTGGTGGAGGTCATCAGCTGTGACGCTCTGAGGATCATTCTTGCGCATTTCCACAAAGTCATCTTCAACTGCCTACATCAACAGGAGAGAGCCTTTACAACCACCTCCTGAGAAGAACTGGCATTGCCTTTTTGTAAGGAAAGAGAGTTAGGACATCCCATGGCTGATGTAAAACTGAGGCGGTTAGTCCTACTGCTTAGGAGACAACAGGTAAAAGCACTGAGAAATACAACCGTATGCTTATAAATAATGCTACTAATGAAAAATGAGGCTTTCTGTACCCAAAAAGATTGACAGCTTCCAAGACTCTATACAGGGGCTCTGAGTTGAAACCAACTTGGCAGCACTTAACAAGTATTCTGAAGGAAAAACACTACAACACAAGGTTCTATACCCACCAAAACTATTCGTGTGCCCTTGTCAGATCAGAACTAGACTGGGTCCAAGCTACCCTTAATGAACATCTTATCAAATAATCCAAGGAAGAATTCTGATCAAAAGGTAAAAGTATCAACAACAGAATTTCAAAGTTTCATGGATGCTACACTGTCCAGAGCCACTGAGCATGGTTAAATCTGAAACTACTGTCAAGAGACAAGCCTTACCAAAAATATCCCCCTAAGTCTTAAAACTAAACAGTTTAGCTGAACTAGTTTTTAAAAAAATCCTGCCTTGAGCACTGTCCTGTTAAGAACTCCCCCTATGGGATCAACATCAACTCAAATTTACGTAGAAACTCAGGGGCCTTGAGTTTATGTTAATGACGGAGGAACAACTCAGAAAAGGAAGGTAAGAGTGGCTTTACAACTTGAAGAATGTGGAACTGGTATATGTTTAGATATCTATAGTCTCATTATCTTGAAAAATGAAAGTGAAATTAAGACATTCCTAGATAAGCAAAACCTTGTAATTTGTCACTAGCTGGCCTGCCATCAAAACATACTAAAGGGAGTTCTTCCAGCTGAAATAATGGGAGGGCATTCACTACTAACTTTAATTCAACAAAATACAGAGCACTGGTCAAAGTAATTAACAGGTAACTATAAGGCTGTATAAAAGCCCTTGTTGTAACTTTGCTTTGATGAGAAAAGAAAACAGAAATAACTATAAATGTGTTGATGGACATAAAATGTACAAAGATGGGGGAGCAGAACTATTGTATTTAGTTTTTAGACTTACAATGAACTAGACTGTTAAAAATTAAGATGTTAACTACAATCTACAGCAGCCAGTAAACATTATAGAAGAATCAGGAGATTAAAAGGGTATATTATAAAATGTATTTCTAAAGAAGATACTGGAAAAAGAATAAAAAGATACCAGTATATTCAGTCAATGCAAACATTTTCAACAGAGAAATCCTTTCCTTCTACCCACACACACCTTCGTTATTTCATCAGATATGCTATAATCCAGGAATCGCAAGAGGGTCAGGTAAATACGGAATTTACTCAGCACCGAGGGCAGCACCGCGGAGAGGAGGCTGTTCATGTACTCCTCCATGTTGGGTGGAATGATCTGTGGTTGTAAGTGGAGCTGGCAGTCAGCCTGGAGAGAGAAATCGTAGTGTTTTCCAAGCTTCTAAATGAACCTCAAATTGCAGGAGGCTGTATCACCTCTAAGCAACACCATCAGGAAACTGGAAGACAATTTGTTCTTATTGGGGAAATCTGTTTGTAATGCTGATTTACAGAAGTTCTAACCACCTCAACAATAATGATAAAAAATGTTTGCTCAACAGTATCAGTGTACCAGTAAGCACAAAAAGGTGGCCTAACCTCAAGAAAGCAGCTCATGAAGATGTCCCAGCTGCTTCCTTAAGCATGCGCTCACTGAAGTTCCTTTCTTGGGAAACATAAGGCTAATCCCACTTTCCTGACAAACACTTACCACCACTGTATCTTTGCATTTTGTGAATAACTTTTTATCATGAATAATTGAGTGCAAATTTACCGAGCAGACCATCAACGTTACACTCTACCAAGCACAGACTTCTCTGACCTCAGGGACTGCCCCACTTCCCCATGTGTTGCCATCCCTCCTCCACCCCCCCCTTCTGAATTTTGTCCTGGGGTAAATGCCACCCTTTTGATCTTGAAGGTGGACCACTCCATGGTGTGGGTACCTCACTAAAGGTGCTGTCCCACCTGTAGAGACATCTACAGGACACTGAGCCATGAGGATGAGGTCACTCCAGATCTGAAGGGTGACCAAGGACCATCGTCTCAGGGTTCCTCAGTCTCTGTCTGACCCATTAACCTGGCCTTTTTCAGGATTTTGAGTTTTGTTCCACATTTTCTCCCACTCTGTCTAGGACCTTCTAGTGGGATCCCTTCCAAAGCAGTTGTAGGCCATTTCACTCTTGATCACATGCTGCCTCTGATACCTCACAGGTGAGCACTCTATGCAGATTAAGACAACACCTTTTACACAACTGGGGGTATTTCTCATCATCCTCAGAATTACAAGCTCTCTTTCTTGGATTAGACAAAGCCACTGGGATGAAGACTAAAGTATTTCACAATAAAGTATAAAAATACTTACCAAGTTTAGGGAAATTTAAATAGAAAAGTATTTCTCATATGAAAAATGGCAGAAAATAATGTTATTAAATTGGACAATTTACATATATCCCTAGACTTGGGAGTTTCTACTACCAATGACTGTGCTTGTCTTGTGATCTGCTGACCTACTGCTTGGTAGATGCTAAGATTTTTGTCCCAAGGCAGGAACAAAATAGCAGATTCCCTCATTAATAGTTCAAGAGCCAAAATTTCAAACAGATGTAACTTACTAACAGGAAACAGCACAAAGAAAGGAAGACATGCAGCTAAATTTCCAAGGTAAGCCCACCACTGAAGGGACTTGTCCTACCGGGAGGAGTGATCTCCCCTCGGAAGTGATGAGAACATTGACATTGCAGGGAAACTCCATCCGGTGGTAACTGAAGTCATAGTCCACCTTCTGCCAAGTGATCAGGTTGCTGAGGGCAGCCACATTGTGAACGCCTAGAAAATGAGAATAGTAGATGTTTGCTGGCATGAACTTTATGACAGGACATTTCTCATGGAAATTACTTCCCAGGGCCAGCACCCCAGAGAGTCTCTACCTAGCATCTCACATGCAACCAGTCATAAACGAATTCCCAGGAAATGATAGCACCCTGGTAGTACAGTGGATGACAAGCTGGGCTGCGGACCATCAGTCAGCAGTTGGACTCTTCCAGGCACAGGAAATCTATCTGGGGTCACTGAGTCGGAGCGGACTCTGGGACACACCATGGCACATCTCTGTGGTAAGACTTTTTATACTCACGTCTGTCTAAGAGTACCTAACCCACTATGGCGGAGTCGAATCGGACCCCCTTGTAGGGCTTCCCTGCAGTAAAGCTTAACAGAAGCAGGTAGCCTCAGCGTTCTTCTAAGGAGGAGCGGGTGGATTTGAAGCGATCTTGTGGTGAGCAGCAGTGTCCAATCCCCAGCGCCACCAGGGTTCCTTTAAAGGTATGCGGTCTACATTCTTCTTCCTCCACCTTTACCTCTTGATCTTGCCAGCAGGAAGACCCTTCCTAACTCTCACCCTCTGGCATAGAGAAGGCTTCAGTCCTCCTCACCATTTCATCACATGCTGTATAGTGAGGTCAGCCCACACCATCACACCAACCACACATGGCCTTCAGACAGTCTTGGAAATTTTTAAAGGAAGTATCACAGTGGGGAATACAAATGTTTTGCAAGTTATTTTCTACATTTCACTTTTAAGATGCTCACTAAATCTCCTTCAGAAGGCTACATGCTGCTTACTTTGTTCCTCATAATATAGCAACATGGTTGTTGTACACAATTCAGTTAGTTTGTAACATACACTTTAAGCAAATCCACATACCAAGCCTCCATTTTAAGTATCTGTTGAATGTGAATTTCTCTGTGCCCACAGCCATTCTTTTAAGGTCATTACTTTAACAGGTTTAGCAAGGGGACAGACATAAACGTGCTCACCTGGTGTGTCCAGCTGCCCTTGTTCCAGAAGTGTTTCATCAATCACAAGAGAAGTACTGCTGGGGAGCTGGAGAAGCCCACTGACCAAGCGATTGGCTGCATAGTCTTTGTGGGGAACGAATTTCAAATGGTTCATGTTTTCTATAGTCATCTGCAGACGAAAGGCCTGCAGAAAAAATGCTTGGTGAGCAAGGAACTAACTTGCCCTGTTTCAAGACAGCTTATGTTTGGGATTAAGCACTGTCTTTTATATGACGAAAATGATTTTTCTAGGCTTCCAAGAGAGTAAACGCTCATGGTTTATTGGACTCTTTGGAGCAAAAATGCTCCTTATATCCTAAGTAAGAACTTCACTGCTTCTCTGAGCTACTTTTTCCTCAAATGCCTTGTTCAATACGCTTAAAGAAAAATTTTGTTTTTACTATACTTCACAAAGATTTGCACCAATAGACTGTATAACTTCAAGCAACTTAACTACAATTGTGTTGCTAGACATACAGAGACGTGTGCTGAGGCAGTGAAAGAGAAAGGGTACGTTTCCAATTACGTCACCTTGCAGGCTACGTCTCCCCTGAAATGTTATTAAAAGCTCAGCTAAATATTTGGGTTAGTGACAGACAATTCGATGGTTTTTTATGCATACTTAGGTTCATAATATACATGTATTTTTGCATTGATCTTACTGCTGGAACAAGATGTTGAATAATCCGATATAAGTGCTCTGTGAAGGTACTACTCCGTGGGCAACCACTCAAATTAAGTGTGAATTTTCCTAGTGGAAGAACATCTCTTCTTGTGTATCTTTAAAAAAAAAAAAAAAAAAAAAAAAAAAATCAATGCAATACTGGTGGTTTCCCCAAAGAGCAAATAAACAAAAATATTATTAAAAATAAAGCCAGTAATACCTTGACCAGTTTTATCGATCAGAATGACAGCAATAATAGCTAATAATTACATGAATGCTGGCAACGTGTGGGGACTCTTCTGAGCTCTCAAATGCTTTCTTAGTCCCTCAGCACTTTCTTGGCTTCACCGATGAGAACTCTAAAGCACAGCAAATGTGCAGTAATGTGCTCAAGCTCACAGAGGCAGGAAGTGGGAGAGCAACCTAGAGACCTGGATTGCAGCATCTACAGCTCAGCCACTACGAGCTGGCTCAGATCCTGTCCTGTCAGAGGGAGCTTCCAGACCGGAGATGCTGACTGTAGTGTGACTTAATGACTGACAGGTACAAAAGGCTGCCTGAAATACTGTGCCACCTTTAAAGCAGATTTTAAATAAAAGCAAGATACAGATCTGTGTTTACAGCAGCACGGAGACCTACGTAAGTGTATATTCACGTAAACAAAAGTGATGAGATGAACGTAGACCAAAATGGTAACTGTGATACCCTCTAGGTGGTGAGATGACACCAGATTTCCGTTTTCTTCCTTGGGCTCTCTTGGGACAAAGGAACAGATGTGACTTTTGAAAATCAGGAAACAAAGAAGTGCACTGGGGTCACAGGGAGCCAGCAGGCTGGCACACGAATTCAATGTGCAATGTGCACAGGATGTGCCTCCACGGTGTCAGCAAACAGCCAGGATAGGCTGACAGAGAATCTCAAGCCCTGCATCTGAGTTCAATTCTCCAAACTTAAGGGGCATAATCAAAACAGAGAAAAGGTGAAAGAATGGACGTGTGACCAGGTGGAGCACTTGTTCATGGAACACATGGAGACCACTGGAGGATGAAACCTGGCAGCACCTCAGAACCTGCCTGCTCCTGTCAGTGGGTCCGTTCCCACTCAGAGCAAAGACAGAAGCAGACCGCCACATCCTTCTGCCGCAGAGCAGCTGCCGGGGCTAACAGCCAAGTGCTTCCACCACTGCATGACCAGGGTTCCTCTACAAAACCCTAAACCTCCTGGACTTCCACCAGGAGTACGGCACTTACACTGTCGAGATGAGATGTAATATAAGGTACTCAGCAGCCAAACCGTCTCCCAGAAGGGCATGAGTGAGGAAGCCCAGCAGTTCGGCTCGGACTGGAGACAGTTCCGACATGAAGTCAGAGACGACTGTGGAGAAGGAAGAGGCAGCGTCAGAATGCACACAGCAGTCCTCAGCCAATGGCGTGGGGACAGCCTGACCAGCTAGGGTACACAAGGCTGGTCTACACACAGATCAGTAAAGGGTGCCCGCCTTAAAACAAGGCAACTTTCATACTTGGATTTCTCCACATTTCAATGAAGATAATCACTGTGAGTGGAGGAGCAGGACAGAGAACGGAGATTCTGGGTACACCAAGGTGGTGATTGGGGAGACCCATGCTGCTGGCTGGCACTTACAGCTCTTGCTCTCCTCTTTGTTAAGGCAAGCAGGCAATAAGGGGTTGATGTGCTGCAGCTTCTGGGCTAAAACCACGTGAATTCTTGGCACTAAGGAGGCAGGAGGGCTGTGGACTCGCTGCTCCTCTGAGGTGTCCGTGCATTCCATCGGGTCCAGGAGTGACGAGGTCTCCCTGTGGAGGGACAACACAAGACAGACGCAGAACCACTATACAATTCATTCACTCACATTGTTGTGTGAGGCGCTGACGAGTCAGTTCCTACTCATAGCGACCACCCCATGCACACCAGAAGGACACACTGCCGATTCCAGGGTCCACAGCAGCGTCACAATGGTTATGTTTGAGCCCTAGCTGTGGCTACCTTTGTCGATCTACTCACTGAGGGGCTTCCTTTTTCTCAGTGACTCTCTATGCTCTGCTAAAAGAGCAGGGAGCAATGCCTCATTTCAGAATCTGACATCAGAGACATCAGCCTAGGCAGGTCCTTCTGTTCCATAAGAGTGAGAGCCGTTCATGGTGACAAATGGGGTGTGGAAGCCACCACTTAGCAGGTCATTGCTTGACACCGCACACTTCAGAGCACACCGTAGGACTGGGGAGGATCCGCTCACCTCTCGCACCTAATTGTTGTCCCTCAAGTTTATTCTGACATGTATCTCCTTTGAGTAGTGAGTGAACAAGCAGTGACTATAACTGTGACTTTTTCAGATGCACTAAACTAGCAGGTGGTAGATTGTGATGCCTGAAATACAACTAACACATCTTTCATCGTCAGAATAAATTGAGACTATCTTCCTTTGCGATGATAAGGACAAGCTTTCACATAGCAATTACTGTGTGTCAGACAACATTCAATGCTTTGCACATACAAGTTCATTCTACCCTCCCAGCTACCCTCAGGTTACAATGAGGAAACCGACTTCCCTCCATCAAGGCAAGCACAAGGTCACAGAACTAATCCGGGCCAAACTGGGCTCCCACTCAGGTGCTGGGTCTGTGCTGAGAACGGAGCCGACTCACCTCTCATCATGACTCGGCACACTCAGCACCGGCTCCACGGACAGAACGCCGTACAGCTCCACAACGTCATTGACTTTGAAGCAGTCCCAGTCCTCATACACCTACCAAGAGATTGTGTGCAAACAAGCTGTTAGGGCCAAGGGCACAGAATCATCAGTCCTGCGGCTACAGTAATAATATTAATACCACCTTAGAATGGTAAATCAGGAAAACAACCTTAAAGAATCTAAAATACTCCTGTACTTCAGAGTTGAGGACAAGAGAGGTAAGGAATTTGCCCAAAGTCATTCTGCACTTTATAGACAAAATTAAAAATGAAAACACAGGCTTCCTGACCCCCAGGTCAATGTTGGTTCTCAACCTTCAAGAAAAGGCTATTCCCAGAGAATACTGTCTAACTGAAACTAGGACCATGCATGATCTTAAAACCAACCAACTACATCAACACAAAGAAAAACCAAGATCATAAACTATTCGGAGAATGAGCTTTTTCACAATTAAAAACACAAACTTCCAGAGTTGTCTATTGTAACACCTGATAGAAGCCAGCCCTGGTGCCATTAACGGAAATGACGTTAAAGTTAAAACTGCAACACTTTAGAATAGGAATTCCCAGATGTCCATTCTGAAACTTAGTATCACGTGTTCTCGAATCAGGATAAAAATAAATGAAAACAGAATATACCAGACTGGAGGGCACACTTTTAACAGGCCGTTACGTTAATTACAAGTGAGAAATAGGCTGTGGTAAGAGAAAGAAGAATCCTGAAAATGAGGTTGCCATTAGGGAGACAGAAACGACACAGAGAGCAAACTGAATTCAACAGTGGTTACAGCTGCTGTCCCACAGGACCAGGACGAGAGTCTGAAGTGTCTGAGGTTCTCTGCAAGTGCTGGGACAGACAAAACAATGCTCCCACCCCACATATCTCCAGCCCTGATCTATGCATCACTGTGTTACTGTACATGACAAATGTCAAAGCCAGGGACACAGAGGTGAGAACATCATTCTGGATTGTCTGGGGGCCTCATCTGATCATACAAATCCGTAAAATGGGAGGCTGTCCCCTGCCTGTGGTCAGCTGTAGATGTAACTATTAAGAATGGCCAGAGAGATGCCAAGTTGGAAGGGGGACATGAGCCAAAGTGCAGAGGCCTCTCGACTCTAGAAAAGGCAAGGAAGACCCTTGTCTTCTGTTAGTCCTCAACACCTCAATCTTACCCAAAACCCCGTCTAACTTCGACCTTAGCAGCTGTTGTTACCAAGTCAGCTTTGACTCACAGTGACCCCATATAGGGGTGGTTTAAGTCACCAGCCTTGTGGTTTGCAAGCCAGTGCTTACCTTACAGTGCCACAACAGGACCCCAGATGATAAATTTATGTTTTTTTAAAGCCAATAAACAGCAGCCACAGGAGACCAGTAACAGTGCTAAGATTTTTCCATGTTCATTTCTGAAACACCTGACACCTCGTCCAGGTCAATGAAGGCCTAGGAAAAGGCTGGCTTACCTTCACGAGGCATGCGGGGCCTGTCTCTCCTGGCAGGGGGAAATTCAGATCAAAAGGAGAAGACAGGTGGAGGAAGTTCAGCTGTTGTCCAGTGGAAGCTTCGGTTTCTAAGCGTTTTGTCTCTCCACACCACTGAAGACCAACACCCCCTAAAAAAATCAAGGGGCATCAGTGTACTTAGTCACTGCACATATTTCATGGAGAAAACGGTGCCCTGAAAGATGCTTCTGAGCTTACAAAGTTCAAAACAGTATAGTGTTTAAGGAAATTACATATATCAACAAAGTCCTTTTTTGACTTATAAGAAAATAAATAAATCCCATGGGGCAGTTCTAGTCTGTCCTATAGGGTCACTATGAGTCCAGTTTCCTCTGTGGCAGGAGGTAAATGTCTCCCCAACCTTACTGATACCCAATTCAGTCAGCTGACTTGTTTTACCCTCTTCGCTCCCTTTCACGTGTTCTCTGATTAAAGGTGCTAATGAGAAGTGACTAACACATAAAAAGAAAATAAAGATCCACTTATCTACCTGCCATAATAAATTCAGAATTAATATACACAAAGAGAGTGGGACCAAAAATCTCTCAGGCTCAACTTTTTCATCTCCTTGTCTGAATCAGAGTTAGTTGTATATTTCACATAGTTTAAGAAATAAACAGTGATAGATTTATATAAACAGCATTGTGACTATTCTAAGGCTTAGGAAGAAATCATCTAACGAGCCACAATTCGATGTGGTATTTTTAGTCTCAATAAACTGAAGTATTACTATTCCAAAAAGAAAATGTGAAAGAATGCTCTGAGCTATAAGGCAACATATTAGGCACTCATATTACATCAGAGTTGGGATAAAAACCAATAGGAAGGGAAAAGGACCCTTTCCAGGCACAACCACCTGAGAATCAAAACACTTAGGGTGGAACGGCCACTTCCCACCCTGGCATGAGTACGGCTCTGTTTAGAGTCTGACCAGATACAACTGCCAAAACTGCCTATAACATCCAACCAGGAATTCTGAAAAGGCAATCCACCACCAGGGAGCAGCAGTCAGAGGGCCCACTACCTGCTTGTCTGGCCCCTGCATGCTGTTCTTTCTGTTTGTTGGGTCGCAGGTCCATCTCTTCGTCATCTTCATAACTCCTCTTGTGACGACTGGGAGTATAGGATGTGGAGGGGCTGACGCGCACTTGGTTTGCGTTAACATAGGCGTGCGATGCAAGGTTAAGAAAAGACAACATGAACTGAAGAACACCCGAAATTATGCTCTTTCTGTGACTAATAATTCAGTCGCTGGGCACCTTAGAATGAAATGTACAATGTACTTTTTTTTTTTCAAAGGAGTCTGGACTTCTGGTCTTTACGAGAAGAACAGGTATCAGTCCTGTGCGCCCCCTGCCCCCGCGGAACACAACGATGAAGCTGAACCACACACAGAAGGCACAGGACCCAGGATCCCTGCAGACCCCCACATTCTCTCCAGCTCTGTCAGGGCACCGCTCAGACTGCAACAAAGACAAGGATAGGTGTGGAAAGCACAGTACACACCATTCAGAGCTATTGAAGAAACTGGAATTTGTAGGATGGTGGTGAAGAGGATGCAAATGGGAATAGAAGGCAACCCAGAAATCTGCACAGGATCCTAAGCTGTGGGTGGAAAAGCCCAGGTTTCCTTCAGGCCCAGCAAGAAGAGTTTCCAGAGTCTAAATGAGATTCTGCAGGTCTTCTCTCGGGCACTTAGATGAAACCCGGAAACAGCATTCGTGCCCACCTTCACAAAGTCCCAAACCAAGCCCTGACAAAATCAAAGTTACCCACCAGCCAATTACCTCCCTGCCAAAACAAAATGCAAGTCATGAACCGAAGACAAAACTGTTAAAGCTCTCTACTGAGAAGCCGCACAATGACACTTCAGACATGCCAGGGACCGCCTGGGGTGGTAGAACCATTCTGTGCCTCGACTGTACCTGTATGCATTTATCCAAGCTGTATGCTTTTGTGTATGAGAACCATGTCTAAAAAAATCTTTAAAAATAACTATTCAGAATAACAAAATGTTAAAAATAAAAAGGAGACCAAGATGTTCCACACAAACTTCTCGAGAATCAACGTTTTCCCTTAAGATAACTGGAAAACATGCTAACTGGAAACTTTAAACTGAATATTGTTGGCATTCCCCTTCTTTCAATCTACCTCAGTCTTGATAACAGCACTTTATTCGAGGATGTGTCGTCGGGGGATTTTCTTAATAGGGACAAATGAAACACAGCCAAGCTTCATAAATGCAGAGCATATCTTTCTTTCCCTTCTTAGAACCTCAAAACCTGAGCTGTGGTCTTTTCATTGAAAACCACAGTAATAATCAGGAGCCATTTAACATGTCAGAGGGGCCAGATAAAGGATATTTCTTTCACCCACGTGGACTCCCCAGGCACAGGCACACAATAGAAAGTCTGTCTTTCCAAAGTGGTAGTTCGTGGAGAGTTTAAATCAACTTCTTGTTGAGGCTGTGATAGACACAAAAAGTATTTTAAGAAAATCGAGATGAAAAAGAAAAACTAGCAACTACATTTTCACATTTATAAAACTAGTCAATATTTCACCTTAAATTAATAAGCAACTAACTGCAATGAGTCCTGGTGTGGCGCGGTGGGCTAATGCGTCAGACTGCAAAGTCATTTGAACTGTAAGGTTGGTGGTTTCAAGCTCACCAGCTGCTCCTTGGAAACCCTATACAAGGTCGCTATGGATCGAAATCGACTCAACAGCACTTAACAACAACAACTGCAATGACTGTGAGGTTGGCCCAGGACAGGGCAATGTTTCGTTCTGTTCTGCACAAAGCTGCTATGAGGAGTTTATACTGACTTGGCACCTAACAAACAACTGCTAATTCCAAGGCCATAAAATCGGTGGTTCAAATCTACCGGCCACTTCTTGGAAACCCTATTGCTGAATCAGAACCAACTTGAAGGCACTTAACACCACCACCAAACGGTAATTTTAAAAAAAAACTCATTTCAATGCAATTTCAAATGAAAGTCATTTCAAATGCAATCATCAAAACACTACTCATCCTCAAATCCAAAACAAATAGGACTCGGTGTTACAAAATTAAATCCTTTTCAAAAACGGGGTACTCTGAAAATAATTTGGTTTTTCCTCCAGAGAAAAAGCACATGGTAACCCCACTGTCTGGCTCACAGAAAATCACCAGAATCAGCCGGTTGTTGCGCAACGCCAAGTCAATTCTGACTCACTGAAATCCTATAGAGGACTTCCAGACCAACTGGTGGGTTTGAACTGCTGACCTTGAGCTTAGCAGTCCAGTACTTACCCTATAGTGCCACCAATACTCAGAATCAGCCTCTAAAATATAATTTCTTTAAATACTCATAACTAGGCAGCTCTGGCAGTCCTGGTGTAGCGCTGTAGGGTAAGTACTAGGTCGGTTTAAACTGTAAAGGTCACAGATTCAAACTCATCAGCTGCTCCTCAGAAACCCTATTCAGGGTTGCTATGAGTCGGAACCGACTCGAAATCACTTAACAACAGGTGGCTCTGAGATGAAAGTTAATTATGGTTTGTTTCAATAGAACCACATGAAAAACAAACCTTGAGAAAATATAGATAGGCAATTGTTTTTTAACATGCTTTTTGCTATTAACATAAAAATAAAATTTAAACTCTCCCAGATTAAAATGTCCATGTAGTTCCCAACGGGAAAAAGAATGGAACAAAGCAAATAGACACAGTTCCTATTTTCCTAGTAAGTCTCTACCACAGACTGCCCTTTCATAGCTCTAACTACGCAAAGTTCTGCTATCGTCTCTCTTCCATTGCTGACGTTAAAAGCGTTCCTATTACTTCCTTTTATTTTAAAAAAAGGTTTTTTCCTCCCACAAAAAGGGGGACAGGATTTGATTAAATTAACCCTAAGGCCCAGTTCCGCTTTCATATTTTACAGTCTGCATCAGAAACAAGTATACAGATACTGCTCAAAAAAGGAATGAATTTCTTCACTTATAATATTCTACCTTCTAAAAGATTAGATTTTTTAAAAAATTGTGAAAAGCTCTGAAATAACAGGCAAATAAAACATTTCACATGACTTCTTAGAAATCATTTACACATAAGATCAATTTAAGATCAGTCAAAAGGAAGCAATACATTCTCTGCATAGCATAAAACTATTTTAAATGTTTTATACAGCATAAAGGAGCTCTGGCAGCGTAGCGGTTACAAATCAGGCTGTGAACCACAAGGTCGGCAGTTTCAAACTACCAGCTGTTCCGCAGGAGAAAGATGAGGCTTTCTACTCCCGTAAAGATTTACAGCCTCAGCCAGGGTCGCTATGGGTCGGAACCGACTCCACGGCACATGACCACCCATCCACCATACAGCATAAGGACACATACCCCACACTCTGCTACATCTCTGTATTTTCCAAAATGGAGAACCTATGGCCCAAAACAAAAGAAACAGTATTATAACAAAATCAAAACTACCATAAAAAATGTTAACAAAAAAAAACACACAAAAAACCACAAGGACTAAGTACAACAAATTACAAGTAGAAAGTTTCATTTTAAAAAAGCAATACATACACGTGCTTTTGTATTTCGGTTAACCGTTTCATAAATGCCCATATAAAACTCAGGGTCAAACATATCCTGTATCATGCAACGGAATTTCACAAAACTGTTAGGTTTCAAATAATGAAGGGGAACTTCATTCAATGATGGTACCTTAAAGGAAAATAAACAAACAAATCAACAAAATATCCTGTCTCAAAAACATTAAGTATATATAAATGTACACTTTCACATCACGACCCACATTACTCATCGGGGTGCTTAATCTTCTCAATGAACAACACAACATGGTCACTGGTCAAAAGCATTTCCGAGTTCTTGCAAGTTTGTCTAATGTATTTTAATAAGATGCTTTTCCCTTCCGAACACTTGTCAAGTACAGAAAGGTATTTGCTTTGTGGAGCTGATTCTTTTAAAATGAAGGTTACAAATGCAGACAATGGATTTTGTCCTCAGGAAGTATGGAACATTCAGGGCTCCCAACTGGTTCAATTCCAGTTTGACGCACTGCTGAGAACTTTCATTTTCACCCCAGGAATATTGATCCCTAGGTGATAAGAATGTCAATTTTGTGTCAGCCTATCTGGAAAGGCAGATTATCAGCAAGGGGTGGAGTTCATGTGAAGCGCTGGTAACGCTGTCCTGTCGGTTACTGCCACCTAGGGGCCCCAGATAGAAGCATTTCGCTGTTGCAATTTAGTTGCAAACTAGATCAAAATCTTTTAATAGGAGTCCATTTAAAGCAGAAGGCAGGTACACATAAATGCATATATAGTTTAAAATTACATACAGACTAATTTAAACAGGGAGTCCTAGTGTAGCGCTGTGGGCTAATGTGCCAGACTGCAAAGTTGTCTGAACTGCAAGATCAGTGGTTCAAGCTCACCAACTGCTCGCTTCTTGGTCGCTATGGGTTGGAATCAACTCAATGGCACTTAAACAGTAACAACAAATTTAAACAGACAAATTTGAAGTCTGTGCAATTCTCTCCCCCCAAAACAGCAGTAGGAGGTCTAGTGTGGTGCTGGAGGATAAGCACTGGACTGCTAACCACAAGGTCGACAGTTCAAACTTACCAGCTGCTCCTCAGAAACCCTATACAAGGTTACTGTAAGTCAGAGCCAACTCAATGGCATTTAACAATAACAAGAAAAAGCAGTAGGCTCACCCATTTAGGAGCATTATTTTCCTTCAGCTTTTCCTTAAAATATTCAATTACTTTCTTCTCCCAGTCAGGATTCACTCCATTTTGGGCTGCAAGAGAAATACACTTTTCAAAACTAAAGGTACGACAGATGATACTAGGCTCTGTTCAGGTGAGCTAGACATGAATTTAGCTAGTTAAAAGGGACACTAGTTAATAAGACACCTTGCTATGTTTCTGAAACACAGCATGGGACAAGGAGTGGCCCGACTAGGGATGGGGGCTGCAGGTCAGGAGGAGGCTGGTCTCCTGCAGGCACTCAAAAAGCTAACAGTGAGGTAAGAATGGGAATGGTTGTAAAGTAGGATAAGCACTGGACTACTAACCACAAGGCCAGTGGTTCAAGCCCACCAGCTGCTCCTCAAAAACCCTATACAGAATCACTATGGGTCAGACCCGACTCCATAGCACACGATAACCACCACCAACCTGAAATGCAGAGCAGAGGGTATTCTTTTTTTGGGAAATAATTTCAAACTTTAGAGAAGCTGCACAAATAGTACAAAGAATATTGCCTATATTCTTTTTAGTTTCTTAAGAATAAGGAGATAATTTCCACATAACACAGTACTGTTATCAACTTCAGGAAGTTCAAAATGAATATAATACTTTCTATCTAATCTACCATCTGGAGTCCAATTTGTCAGATATGGTGCTGCAGGATAATGCGCGGGATCGCATAGTCAGTTTGAACTGAGAGGTTGGCAGTTCAAATCCACCAGCTGCTCTCTGGAAACCCTATAAAGGGTCACTATGGATAGAGGAGCTCTGGTAGCGTAGTGGTTACAAATCGGGCTGCGAACCTTAAGATCAGCGGTTCGAAACTACCAGCCGCTCCGCGGGAGAAAGACGAGGCTTTCTACTCCCGTAAAGATTTACAGCCTCAGCCAGGGTCGCTATGGGTCGGACCCGACTCAATGGCACTTAACAACAACAACAACAACAAATGGATCAGAACCAACTCCCTGGCCCTTAACTACCAAGTGCCTTCACTCTCCTTTAATTAGGAACACTCCTCAATCTGTAACGGATGGCATCGGCATTTGATTAGAACTCAGGTCTTTAAGGAAGCAAAATGCTCCTCACTTTGGGCTGTCTCGAAGGTTCCTTAGGATTCACTTCGGGTTATGCACTGCTAGCCAGACTACTATATAAGGAATGTGGTCTTCTCAAGGTAAGAAGCCTTGGTGGTGCCGAGGTTAAAGTGCTCAGCTGCTAAAGATCAGTGCTTCAAGCCCACTAGTCAGTCACTCTGCAGAAAAAAGATGTGGCAGTCTGTTCCCATGAAGGTTTATAGCCTAGGAAACCACATGGGACATTTCTGCCCTGTCCTACAGAGTCACCAGTGGTTGAACGGACTCAGCCACAGTGGATTTTCTCAGGGTATCTTATCCAGCGGGACACGTGAGCCCATTCCTCCACGATGTAGTGACGATGTCCCCGACCACTAATAAGGAACCAGCAGTGAGACAATTTAAGACCATGTAGACAATGCTGCACAATGATGTATCATTTTTAAAAACGATGATGATTACAAAATGACAAGAGCTGTTTTTAACTGTCAAAGGTAAGAAAACCAAGAATTTGAAAACTTAAGGAATGGGCAAAGAAGAGAGAGATCTTGTCAGAATCCTGAATATGTAGCCTTGTAAACAGCACTCAACTGCTAACCCAAAGGTCAAAGGTTCAAGTCTACCCAGAGGCACCTCTGAAGGCCTCATGATCTACTTCTAAAAATGTGTGTGTGTGTGTGTGTGTGTGTGTGTGTGTGTGCGCGCACGAGTGTGCGCGCGCAAATGTTTTCTTTTTTCCTTTTTGGTCCTAATCAGCGGATGTCTGAGCAAAAGACTCAGAAGCAGCTGTTGAAGTTGCATCAACACTGCCCCTCTGCATGCTCTGCATGTGTGCAATAAACACCAACATGCCACATAAAAGCTACATCAAAGACGACCAGCAAGAGGTAACCTGCACAGATACAGATAGAATCTTCTTAATCACAGGCCAATGAAAGGGCTGCAGAACAATCCTCTCCCTCCTCTCATCCCTTCAGGCCCCGAGAAAGAAAAATAACAAGTGCCAACAAGAACTTTGCCCAACGTCTGCTAAACCTACATGTGCCCGGCACTATGCCAAGGCTCCAAGAGCCCTGGGTCCCTGCTCACAGCTCAGGACAGAGCATCCTAAGTACTTGAAAATAAAGAATAAATTCAGAGAAAGAATTAAAAGATTATTAAGAGGTTTCTGGAGGAGACGCATCTGAGGTGAGTTGTGACAAGGGTCAGAAGGGGATACTGCTTCAGCGGAATGGTACAGTGAACACTAGAAGGAGAAACAGGAATTGTAACCCAGCCTTCCAGACACACCAGTACCTGGAAGAGCATGGAGCCAGTGAACAAAAGGCCAGTGAGGCCGTGCACCACAAACTGTCGCTCTCTATTCACAATTCCTTTACATTCCCAGGGTCTAACAAGGACCTGGAGTCCTGCTGTGGCGCTGTAGGGTAATCGCAGGACCGTAAGGTCAGTAGTTCAAACTCACCAGCTGCTCCTTGGAAACCCTATACAGGGTCACTATAAGTTGGAACAGACTCAATGGCACTTTATAACAAAAACATCAAATATGTACAATGGACGGAAAAACAGGTTGTTTTGCAAGACTAGCATTCATTTCCTCTTTCTCTAGTGACACTGCCTACTTTGGAAGGGGAAGCATCTCATTCTCGTTCTCAGTCCAAGGGTGTGTGCCTGACCCAGGCCTGGCCAAGGAGAGTACTGTATTCTCACGGATTTTCTAATGATTGGTGGACGGGTGGACCAATCAAAGGAGGAGTCAAATAACCGGGGTTGCAATACGGATGGATTACAGTCCTGGAGCTGCCTAAAAATGAACCCATCCCAGAGGATGGACACAGGTAAGGTGGACACAGGTGAAGCACAGCTCCACTTGAGTCTGATGGTAGCCCAACCCATGGCTTCTGTTAGCTGAGTCAGCATCTCTACCTTTTTTGGGTTAACTCAGAGCAGGTTGAGTCACTTGTAACCAAGAGTACAGCTTAGCATAGACACGCCCAGAGTTCCACAAAGCACATCATGCATCTTGGCCATCCAATTTGAGCAACACTGTGCAAACAGCCCGAGTTTAAGGCATGGGGAGACTGAGGGACAAAAGCTATATGGGTTTGTGAGCCCGTTACACATGACAAGTACAATCAGAGTGGTCATATCACTTTATCCTCTCACGAGCAATACAGACTAAGTTCCAGATGTTGCACATCCTCACCCACACTTGACTTGTCAGTTTTTAAAATCCTGGTCATTCTGATGAGTGTGTAGTGGCGTCTTAACCATTTGATATAAAAAAGCGTGCTTCCATGTACTAACTTCAGAAGGCAGTAAGGGCTGGGATAGAAGGAGGAATGGAAAAGGGCAACAGAGGGAAGTAGAAGAGGAGATAGTACACTGTGGGGACTCAAATCAATGACATATGAATTGTTGAATGGAAAACGAATTTGTTCTATAAAACTTCAGCCACGTTAGAATAAAGTGGTGGTGTTTCAAAAAACAGCATTTCCCTAGGGGCTAATAAGGATATACGTTTTCATATATTTGTGGACCATTCATTTTTCATGCTTAAAAATTCTAGATAGTGTTAAGAGTTTCTGGGTAGCACAAACCAGCTCAATTCTTAGCCAAAAGTTTGGTGTTTGAAGACATGCGTGACAACGTTCTTCCAAAGAGTCCCAGCCTTAAGCACACGAGAGAGCAGCTCGGCTCTGCACAAATGCAACTGCCAGGAGTCAGAATCTACTTGACAGAAACTAACTTCATCATCTTGAACAAGAACGGCGCATTCGATTGCTCAGCTCCCATTCAGGACTGAGAACCACCAACCAGATCTGTGCTGATTGTTGTGTGTTGTCAAGTTGGTTCCAACTCACAGTGACCCTGTATAGGGCTCCCAAGAGCGGCTGGTGGGTTTGAACTGCTGACCTCAGGGTTAGCAGTCCAGTGCTTACTGCCGCATTAGGACAACATTGGTCCACTACTCCTTCCTGCCTCAAAATTGGATTGTCTTAGCATCACTGATTTGTACAAAGTCTAGATTCTAGCCTTCTGTCAGGTGTATATAGTGCAAATATTCTCTCCCAGTCTGTAGCTTGCCTCTTGAGATCTTCATGGTTATTAATTATTTATTTGAAGCTCTTATTGTGAATTGAGTGATAGTTTACAGGACAGATCATCAGTTTTGCACTCGACCAATCATACTTTGTTTCATTGCTATGATTACAATCACTCCACGCACTGTCGGTTAACAGTATTCACCTCTATTCCCGCTCCTCATGGTCTTTTGACGAGAAGATTTTCATTTTGACTAAGACCAATTTATAGTTAGCAACCCCAACTAAGGTCATGAAGATATTCTATGATTTTTATGGCTGTAGAAATTTAAAGTAAGGCATGTCACCGGACAAACGGAGGACTTCAAGGGTGTCAAGTGAAGACATCAGTAAAGAAGCGCCATCTTCTTCCAAACTTGCAGGAAAACCCCTCACACAGAGCAGCTTTCTCACAGGGAAGCAGTCACCCCATTCCTGTGTACCTCCTCAACATGGACACGAAGGTCTTATTCATCAGTCTAAGTATGGGTGTTTTATGGGAGATACTGGTACACGTTTTCAGATTGGTAGGATAGATAGATAATAAGATGAGCTTTATAGTCCACACAAACCAGACTGAACCCATGGTAAAAGTGTTAACAAAACTAAATGGACAGTTAATGCCCACTGGAAGAAATTTCTGAAAGCAAAGCAGCTAACACTTAAGCCACCACATTTTGTGCCACAGATTTTTCATCAAGGAAGACTTGTTAATACCTTGCCTTTAAGAAGACATTTAGTCTCTTGTAATATGTATGTACTGTTGTGAAATGCCGTCAGGTTGGACCTGACCCATGGCAACCCTAATACAGTGTTTCTGAGGAGCATCTGGTAACCTTGAACCACCGATGTTATTAGTTCAAATGAAATGCATTAACCCACAGCTCCACTCCA